CTCTGAGACCTGTCTCCCCAGCCACCCTCCTCCTCCTCCTCCTCCGCCTCCTCCTCCTCCTCCTCCTCCACCTAAAGGTTCCATAACCTCCCACACAGCTCTATTAGCCTGGCACCTGTGGGGGACATTTCACACTCAAACCTTAGCACGGACTTAAATCCCGAGGGCAAGCTTGGGAAGGGCTGGTCAGGTGGCCACTGCCCGGACACAAGCTCTGGCGTCCATACGTATTTGCACATACTTGCGCGTGCACACACACACACACACACACACACACACACACACACACACCCTGACTCTCCAATGGTTTCTGCAGTGGAGGTATTATGCTCCTCTCTGGCATCACAGACCCCCTTCTTTGGCCCTGGCAGGGGGTCAACCCTGCTTCCAGGTGACAGCAGATGGATGTCACCAGATGGATGCCCAGGAGGGCATGTGAGTCGCCTCCTCACAGGAATGCTTACTCACTGCACTGCCCCCTCCCCAGGGGTGCCACCTTGCCCCCTACTTCTCTGTTCTTGTGGCTTTGTTAGCTGTGGAAGCTCCGTGTGTGACTGAGTCCCTCCCTCACTGCTCTCACAGGAGCTGTCCTTCCTGGCTGTCCCCAAGCTCCTCCATAGGTGGCAGACCACCTCCCGTGCCCACAGATGGCCAGCTTTCACCATGCCACCATGTTACAGTGTACCTCTGGGCTTCCTTATCTTCATTCTACAGATTCGGCTCTGGAGGCCATGGGGCCATGGGCAGGTGGGACTGCCATCCCCGGAAATCTTCCGGTCAGGCTGGTGGCCACAGGCCTGGGAGGGAAAGGAGCAGTTGGTTGAGGGTTGTCTCATACATGCTCACACACACATGAACACACACATGTGTTCCCTTGGTTCCCTAGATCAGGTGTGCTTAGGATTTGATTTACTGCTAGGTTTTGGAGTGTTCCAGACCTTTGATCCAGTTCAGGGAACGGTGGGAACCATCCCCAAGTCCAAGAGCCTTTGTGCCGACCTTAGACAGTGCAGCAGGTCTCAGATCCTGGAGCCCTCAGCTTCTCCGTCTGGGCTTGTTTTGTGTGGTGCCCGGGCCTGCCCTCTGATCACCAAGACTCCACTCCACACCCCTCCTAAAGATGCATAAGCTCTTGGTTGCTGCATTCCAAGATGCAGCCTGTCAGTGTTTGTGGTTCTTTGTGTCTGGCTCAGAAGCAGTGACTGTTTCCTTGGCTGTCTGTCACTTCCAGGGGACAAAAGATGTTTCCTGTTCTCCATCACCCCCAGCATGGCCACGTACATGCCCACGGGTTACAATGACCACTTCATGTACTTGAATCACGGACAGCAGACCATGCCCAACGGACTGGTAAGCAGGTGGGGAGGGGGTGTCCCACCAGCCAGGTGGGAATGCTTTCAGTGTGTCTGTCCCTTCTTCGGTATGTGCTGAGAGTCCATACCAGGGCACATCTTCCTTAGTGATAGCCACGCCTTTGCTGGGCTTTCCCCTGGTTTGTGTGTAAACAGCCTGGCCCTTTCCATGGGCCCCAAACGATTGGCCAGTGTCCCGAGGGGGTGTAGGCAGCAGACCTATTACAAGGCACTACTGTCCTGCCTCACACCTGCACGTGCTGAGCCTGCACACCAAGGTTGTGTGCTGAGCTTCGTGGAGGTGGGAGATCCCTGAGCTGAGGGCTGTGGGCACTGGGTCTGGTCGTTAGTAACTTAGGAGACAAAAAATGGGCTCTGCTTGTGGTGGCCATGTTCTTGCATGTTGATAGCCACAGGGAGGGAAAAAAAGAGGGATGAGAGGAGGGGAGGGGAGAGGAGAGAAGGGAGAAGAGGGGAGGGGAGAGGAGTGAAGGGAAGGAAAGGAGAGGAGAGGAAGCTGGAGACCAGGCCAGCAATAGCAGCTGGATGTGTGCTGGTGTTGTGGGACGGATACCCACTAGGATGCTCGGCATGGAAGCCCAACCTGCTGGCCTTTCTCTTTTCTGTTTCTTGACGAGTCTTCTGGAATCTTCTGGGGAGGCCCAGCTCTGTGCTTGCTGAGCTGAGAGCCAAGTCGAGATGTCTCCTCAGGCAGCTAGAGAGGGGTAGGGGTTCCCTCCCAGACTCATACCACAACAAGTGGAAGGGACATGGCCAGGTCTCCAGGATGCCAGGGTTTAGGCACTGGACTCCTCTCCGAGTGAGCCTGGCTGTCAACCCCAGGAGCAGCCTCAGCATCCACAGGAACCACTCACCTTTGGCCTGGGGACCAAAAGCGGCTTCTAGACATAGGCTTAGATCCCTGCATCTCCAAGATGGAAGCAGGTCATATCGTGTGCTCCAGGCCCACGAGGGACAAGGGGATGTGACGGAGGTGGCGTCAGGACAAAGCTGTCAGGGAGGCAGGGTAACAGCTGGCTTGAGCCTTGCAGTGGGACTATGTGGTGGGAAGAAGAGATCTGAGTTGCCACTCCTAGCCTGCCACCTTTCCTGAGGGAGAGTCACTGGGCGGAGGTCAGTTTCCCGTGGGGACGGGGCAAAGATGGGTTTCCAGGGTCCCTGTGCTCACCTCACCCCTGAGTAACTGCTTGGAACACCCAAAGAATCTGCAGATTTTCCAGTCTGCTGTCCCCTGTGTGTAGCCTCACCTGAGAGCTGTAGAGTGTGCTCTGCTGATGTCCATGACCGTTTGGCAACTTGGAACGTGATTATAATCGCAGCCCAAGAAAACAAAACTGCCCACTGCATTCCTGCTTCCCCCATGTCTCAGGCTGGCCAAGAACTCAAGACCCTCCTGGTTCTCTGGAGTGATGAAGCATGGCTGCTGACTCTCATCTGTCTCCACTTGCTCCACAGGGCATGGGCGGGCAGCACCATTACTTTGGGCTTTGGGTGGCCGCCGACTTTGGGAAAGGACACAGCAAAGCCAAGCCCACATGCACCACCTACAACAGCCCACAGCTGTCTGCCCAGGAGGACTTCCAGTTTGATAAGATGGAGGTGTGGGGGCTTGGCGATCTCTTAGAGACACAGCTGGTGAGTTCTACACGGCAGTGACCTCACACAGAGCTCTAGCCTTTCTGCTTTTTCTTACTTTTCCTCCGCCTGCTTCTCCATCTAGGGAAGTTCATCTTTAATAGCTCTGGGCCATGCCAGGGTACATGCAGCAAAGTAGAGTGTGGGTTTGCCTTAGTAGTGGGGACCTACCTAAAATGTGCTCCTGGCCCAGCCAGATGGTCCTTTGCCTTTCCTACCTGTCTGCCAGAACACGTAGTTTCTGCCTGACCCTGGCAATTGCAGCTAGGGAGGCTTCAGGGTACCCATGCCTCCTGGCCTCTTTGTGGCTCCAGTCTGATAAGCTGGCCGCTGGGAGGAAGTCACTGTGTGGCCCAGGTTGGTGGGACCTGTTATCTCCCTGTGCACTGAATACACTCATCCCCTTCTTCCCAAGGTCAAGAACAAGAAGAGCATCCTTGACTCGAATCTCGAGGCGCAATCCCTGTTGGAGATCAGTGGGCGGGCTCGCCACAGTGAGGGACTGCGGGAAGTCCCTGATGATGACTGAGGCGCCTGAACCGTGGGCTTCCTGGAGCAAGGTCGGGGACTCCCCGAGAGATGCAGTGCACACAGCGTCCAGATTCCTCACTGCTGGGTAGGCAGAGCCCCTCAGACCCTCTGCCCTGACTCTGGCTTAGCTTTAACACAGCCACATTGCCACATCCAGGCCGTCATGGCTGTACTTAATCAGACCACAGCCACACCAAGAAAAACCCCTCTGAAGCCATAATTGGTGGGTGTCGCCTCCCAGGATCCCTGAGCATAGGTTAGAACTTTGGCCTTATACTTTGTTTTATGTCAGTGGAATTCAAAGACAGAGGCTTGAAACCTGCTGGAACGGTTGATTGTCAGGGGTGTGTATTCTTGCCTCTGGGTCCAGTGAGTACCCTGATGGCCCATCGTGAGTGGAAAGACAGAGGTGCTCAGATGGATCTGAAGGTCATGTTTCTGGGGGCAGGACTCTTAGAACAGGTGTGTGATGGGGTTCCCATCTAGCTTTTTCAACACTTTTTAAATGAGTCTGATGAGCAAATGGAAAAACTTGACCTACCTGCCCAGGGGCCAAGCCATTACTGTGCTGCTAACTCAGATATGAGGGCATTTGGAGAGAGCCAAAGTCTGGGTGTTTGATTAGTGGATGCATAAGACCCATCCCTGAAGTCAGTGGCGGGTGATGTCCAGTCTTGGCTGGGAGGGGCAGCCTCTAGGTCTCCTCTGAGGTCACAGCTCAGGGCTTCTCAGGATGATAACTAATGGAACAGTGTAGACTGACTTTAGAAAGACTCCAGTGATCCCGAGAGACTGAAGATTACTCAGGTGGGCAGGGTGCCCATCACACTGAGTCATTGCCATCCAGTGTCACCCACTCAGAGGAGCCCCGGGCCCTTCTCTGAGACCTCTACCTCTTCTGTTTGCCTTTTTGCTATAAACTTCAACCTTTACAGATCTGATAAAGATTCTACCTTTGATTGTACAGTTTGCCTCAACTAAAAGCCATAGAGAAGCCAGCTACGTGCATTTTTCCAGCTCTGTATTCTTGCCCAGGAAGCACCTGGAATACTCCATGTAACCATCTTGAGCACAACAGGAAGTCTGAGGCATGTTCCTTCCAAACAAAAGTGCTGTTTCTGTGCACGGAGGGGTAGGTGTGTGGTGCAGACAAGGGCTGGGCCATTTTGGTTTTCTTGATAAGAAGCCAGCTGTCAATGGTATGTGAGATAGGAGAAAATACTGGAAGCTTCAGACAACCCCATTGTAACCTCACAGAATTAGGTCACTGTGCTATGGAGTGTTTTTAATAAAAATGTAGTCGTGTCTCTCGTTGGCAGCAGACCTGTGGTACCCATGGCTTGGTGTGATCCATTGGGAGTCGTGACACCATGGCCCCCATGCTTTCTGACCTCTGTGCTGACTAGAGCTCAAGCCACAGATGGGATCCTGCTTCTCAGAAGAGTACCCTAAAGACAGGAGGGCCTGGGAGCCCTCTTGGGGTACAGGTGACAGGCTCTGCTTCTACACACACACACACACACACACACACACACACACACACATCTCTCAGAACACAAACGTGTGTGGAGTGTCAGCTAGGCCCTGAGGAACTTCTCATGTCTTCCAAATGAGGAGTGTGGTCTTTTGAGAAACTGGAACAAGAATTCAGCTGTGAGCGCCAGAGACCTCCTTACGCATGGGGCCTGATCCGAGCCCAGAAAGCGCTTGAAGGAAGAGGTAAGAAACAGAGACCATGCTGCAAACCCGGTTGTTGTTAGAACGAATGCTGGAATGAGGTGCTGGAAAGGAGGAGACAGGAAAGGACAGCTCTGGGCAGGCATGCCCCGCCCCCTCCTCCTCTGGGCTCCTCTGGAGGCCACCCTCTGCACACTGGGGCACAGCTGTGTTTGAACACAGTACGACTTCCAGTGGGCGTTGCTCAGGGCTTCCCCGTCTCCTCTCCCGCTGTCTCTGTCAGCTCCGCAGATGTTCCATCCCGTTAGGCAGGCCAGCATCTTCCTGGAGGCTTGTTGTTGCCATAGTGACCATCCTGAGTCTGGCATTGTGTCTCTAGGATGAACTGAGTGACTAGTTGGTGTAAGATGCTTTCCCCCCTTTTCATTCTTTTTGGTAATGCTGTGGAGTGCAACCCAGTCTAGTGTGTGCTAGGGAAGTGCTCACTACTGTGCTGTGTCCCCAGCCCTTGGCTTTTTGAGGCAGGGTCTCCTATGTAGCCTAGACTGGCCTTGGAGTCATGATCCCCCCTACTTCTGCCTCTCGAGTGCTGTGACCACTCCATGGTGCCCCACCATGCCCGGCTGAGGTGTGACAGGGCTCTTGACTTCCTTTCGCCCCTGTAACATACTGAGTGCCTGCTCCCCGAGGAGTGGCGGTGGGCAGCTTCATTTTTCCAAGTGTCTGGGGTGGTTTGAAAGAAATCCCAGCGGGAGTGGCACTACTGGGAAGTGTGGCCTTGTTAGAGGAAGTGTGTCACTGTGGGGCAGGCTTTGAAGTCTCAAACCGTGCCCGGTGAAACAGTTCACTTCCCGTTGCCTTTGGATCAAGACGTAGAATTCTCCGGCGCCATGTCTGCCTGCACACCGCCATACTCCCAGCTGCCATGCTCCCCGCCATGATGATAATGGATAAACCTCTGAACTGGAAGCCACCACCTCAGTTAAATGTTTTCATTTATAAGGGCTGCTGTGGTCATGGTGAAACCCTAAGACAGTGTCCCTCTGGCTTTCTAGGGTGTTTTTCTCCACTTTGGTTTATAAGAGATTTTTTTTTTTGAGGGCTGGAGAGATGAGTCAGCATTTAAGAGCACTGGCTGCACTTCCAGAGGGCCTGAGTTCAATTCCCATCAGCCACATAGCAGCTCCTAACTGCCGGTTAAATCCGGGTCCAGGGAACCCAGGGCCCTCTCCGAGGCAGCAGGCGCACACAGTGGTGCACAGACACACATGTAAGCAAACCAATACATGCATAAAATAAAAACAAACATTTCAAAAATGAAAAACAACAACAACCCAGCTTTTGTCAAAGCAACACCATGCTTATTTGGAGTGGTTAAGATTCTTCTTAGTTTATTCAGCTTTATCTGGGGCGGTTTTTCTGCCCATAAATCTTAGATGTTACGTCACACTTGTCAGCATCCTCTCTTAAGCAACTGCACACCCTCCACTCGGGATAGAAAAGGTCACCTACTTCTGCACTTCTGCTATTCCTGTGGTTTCTGGTTATATATCTTTGGCCCAAAGTATTTTTTAAGCTATATCTCATCCCTAAAGTTCTAATGCTTTTTTAAAAAAAATTTATTTTAAAATCACTTATGTGAGTATGGAGGTCAGAGGACAGTTGGAGTCAGTTCTCACCTCCCACCATGTTGATAAGGGTCTCTTATTTCTGCTGCCTTGCTGTCCACTGCAGGCTAGCTGGCCTGAGATCCTGGGAGGCTGTCCTGTCCCTGCAGCGCGTCCTGCTGTAGGAGTGTTGGGGTTACAGATGCACACTCCTGTAGCAGGGCTTGAACCCGGGTTATCAGGCTTTCTTGGCTCCTCTTTACGCAGTGAGCCATCTCCTCAGTCCCCTGCGTTAAATGGTATGCCTTTCCTCTACATACGCTACTTGCTTTAAAGTTTTATTTTATTTCTATATTATGTGTAAAAGGGCATTTTGTCTGCATGTCTGTCTGCACACCAGAAGAGGACATCGGATTGCATGAGACTATAGTGATAGATGGTTGTGAGTTGCTACGTGGGTGCTGGGAATTGAACTCAGGCCCTCTGGAAGAATAGCCAGTGCTCTTAACCACTCAACCATCTCTCCAGCCCCTTAAGCTACTTTCTAATCAACTGACTTTCTATGTGAATTCCAGCATCTTCCTTATGTTTTAATACTGGAGTTTTAGGGGTGGGTGTGGTGGCACACACCTTTAATCCCAGCATTTGGGAGGCAGAGGCAAGAGGATCTCTGAGTTAGAGGCCAGCCTGGTCGACAGACCGAGTTCCAGGACAGCCAGGGCTACACAAATAAACACTGTCTTGAAAAAACAAAATAAAAAAATGAATGAGTAAAACGAGTTTTACAGCAAAAGGTGAAGCAAGGGTTCTTTCCCTCCTGTAGTCTGGAATGGCCTCTTAGGTTTGCTTTTCTCTGAACTTCAGTGGCATGATGACCGTTTTTAAAAGTCAGATGGCCGAGGCTGTAACTCGGAGGTAGATTCAAGAGCCTGCTTGTGTTCATTAACCACTGGTTAAGAAAATGTCCACTCAGCTCCGTAAAAGACAGAAGCTCACTTCCCAGATGCTCAGCCCCCGCCCCTGACAGAAGAGCCAACTATGGCCAGATGCTCGCATGAAGTGAGTGAACACAGGAGCTGACGTGAAGATACTGCGTGGTGTGTACAGGTACCGACACACATACCTCTTTGTGTGTGTGGCTTATGCCTGTGTTTAGGTGCACATGTACATGTATGGCATATACCTGTGTGTGGGTACACATGTATGCACGTAACATACGCCTGTGCGCAGGCAGGGGTGTGTGTGTGTGTGTGTGTGTGTGTGAGATGTATGCCTGTGAGATGTATGCCTGTGTGCAGGTGCACTTGTGCATGTGACATATGCCTATGAGTATACTTGAGCACACATGGGCACACGTGTGTGAACTTTGTCCCTGAAGCTTGCTGAGTCCTTTTGTGTCATGACCCTCAGCTATGAGTGTCTCAGAATCACGTGTCCAGCTTCTTGAGACGTAAGCTCGGGCTCCCCCTCCTGAGAGGGAAGTGTGGAGGACCCGAGAGCCGGTGCTGCTGGCGAGTGAGCGATGCTACGGTGCAGGTCCAGCTGGCTCTGGCAGCCGCCGGCGGGATGGTTTTGTTCATGTGTATTGTCCTGAGTGTGCAGGCGTTGCTCCTCTAGTGGCATTATCACACACTGCCGTGATTCCTTTATGGTTTTCAGTGTGGAACAGCCCAGGGCCTCGTCCAGGCCAGGCAGACACTCTGGTGCCAAGCCCCAGCCCTTTTCACTCAGAGGCAGAGGCAGGGGGATCATGAGTCCCGCTGAGCTGCCCAGGCAGGCCTTGAGTGGTAATCCTTTTTCCTCAGCCTCCTGAGTAGCTGGCATGTCAGGTGTGTGCTCAGCTCCACAACACCGACTCCTCCTCCCTCTCATGGAGAGGCTCTGGTCTTTCTCCACGAGGCATGATGTCGGCACGTGCTCTGATGTATCTGCTTTTTTGTGGGGGAGGGAGCTTCCATGTGTGTTAGTGTTTATGAGGCACCCCTGTCAGAAGTGGATGTGGAATTCTGAAAAAACTTTAGGGTTTTATTTTGGCGTCTGTGGAGTGAGAACTTTGCAAACACAAGGCGTCTGTGTACTTCGTCACAGCGAGTGTAAGGGAGCAGCTCTGTGGCGTTTCGGCTTTTTAGATGACTAATGCCTATCCCCGCTCAGTGGCACCACCTTGTTTTTGCTTTTAATCAGATTTTTGCATAAATCATACTTGTGGAATCTCTTTTGAACACTGGGGATTGAACCCCAAATCGTGAGACAGCTCTTTACAGAACTGCCCTTAAGCCCTCATCAAATGAGGAAGCAAGGTCTCAAGGGGGATGGCTGTGGGCATCGTGGCCGTGCTCCTGGTCACCCTGTGCCATCATCACATGGGGCCACATTGCTCAAGCACAGAAAGACAGGTTAAATAAAAAACACGGTGGTTTAATAAATAGTGCCATGTTTTAGTAAGCTCCGTCCTGACCTGTGCATCCCAGCAGGTCAGGACAGGTGGAGCCAGGGTCCTGATGCTGCGTGGTCACTGAGGGCTGGGACAATGGTTCCTTCACACGGCCCCTGGGAACGTCTGGGGGGTCTTGCCTCCGGAGCAGAACTTCTCACACAGCTTGAGCAGCTCCGACAGAAAGAAGACAGACGAGGCCAGGCCAGCTAACAGCAGCAGGTCTGTGGGAAGAGAGGCTCAGATGGCAGTGGCCACCTGCCACGTCCTGCAGTGGCTCCCTCTGTGTTCTCTGCCTTTCTCCTCAACCCAACAGACTTGTGGGGGCTGAGGGGAAGGGGCTGGCCACTCTTGGAGAAGCCAGGGTCCTTCTGTGACACTGGATGCCCAAATGAGTCACCATGGTTTTTGCAAGCTGACTTTCTTCCTCACCATGGAAAAAGCTGCTTAGAAACTTGCTTGGGGGTTCCTGTCTTTCTGAGATAGGGTCTCGGGTAGTTCAGGTTAGCCACGAACTTACTACGCAACTAAGGACAACTTGGTACTCCTGATCCTCCTGGCTCCCTCTCCAGTGTCACTGTTGGAATTACAGGCAGGCCTAGGTTACGTGGTGCTGGGGATGGAGCCCAAGGCTGTGTGTGTGCCAAGCAAGCCCTCTTCCAACAGAGCTACAGTCCCAGCCGAAGGGTTTTGTGTGTGGGCTTGCAGGAACATGCAGGCAGAGGTCAGGGTCGACATTGGGTGTTGTATTTTGCTCTTCACCTTTTTATTTTTTTCCAGACAGCTCTCACTGAACCTGGAGCCCACCATTTTCAGCTAAGCTAGCTGGCCACAGAGCCCCTGAAGCTGTCTCTGCCTCCCCAGCCCTGGCATTACTGGTGCATGCATTCTGAGGCTCAGACTTGGGCCCTCATGCTGTCCTGTCTCCCCAGCTCCTGGGTTCTTTTTCTATGCTCCCATAGGGCGCTCGCTGGGGCCTGCAGGGACACTGATTCTAGATCACAGGGAGGGGGGCCCATCCTGGCTTTATCCAGGTCTCCAGTGCCCTGTCTGCACATCTTCACACCCGGGTGACCGTTTGGGGTCTGTAGTGAGCTGTGCTGGACCTGGGAGCTGACCCTCTGTTCTCCACTCCTGGGTGGAGGTGACAGAGGAAAGCTAGGGACCTGTCACGGCTGTTCTTGGGCTAGTTCCTCTGCAGGGCCTGTCCCTACAGGAATAGGGACAGTTTGCTTCCTGTCCCCACTGCTCTTTGGCTGTGGGAGCGTCCTGGGCTCCAGAGCAGAGCATGCACACAGTGGCCGTTGAGCATCCCAGGCTGCTAAATTATGTCCCTTTCAGCAAGAACTGCCAGATGGCCAGCTCAGATGAGCACCTGTCCAAGTCACCCCAGTCAAGCCCTCAGACTGTGTGTGTCCTGAGGTTCAGGGTGCTGCCACCCAGTCCTAGCCTTAGGTCCCACTTTCAGCAGAGGGGGCCTCTTTCAGGGCTTCATTTGCGTTCCCTGTATCTGCATGTCACCTTCCTACTCTAGGTGACACAGAGCAGATGCTGCAGACCAAACTCCAGAATGGCCCTGAAATCTCCTCCTCTGTGGCCCCCGCAGCTCCACCCCAGGCGGCGGTCATCTCGGGGGACCACTTGTTCCTGTTCCCTCACTCACCCAGAGCTCTCAGGTTTTCTGTCTGGAAGACCCGCTGCAGGGGCGGGGCATAGATCACAGCCAGCTGCCCGAGAAGGGACCCGAGGACCGAGTAGAGGAACATGCGGTTCCGGAAGAAGCCAATCTCAAATATCAGCTTGGTCTGTGGGGAGGAGAGGCCTGATTGGGCTTTTGCAAGCACACAGTGTGGGTTCAGCAGCTGTGCCCCTGGGACGCTGTGCAGTCTGTATCCCCCCCCCCCCCCCGCCCCGAGTTGGCACCTGGACAGAATGGCAAGTGTTGAGGCTTGTTGGACCTGAGCCACTGGGGGACATGAAATCTGATCCCTGCACCCCTCTCCCCAAAACTTTGCCAAGAGTATGAGAGGCAGTGGAACAGTGTTCCCTGTCTACAGGGGCCCCCTGTTGTGGGTCCACAGGGGTGGGGCTTGGGGCTGGGTCTCAGCCCTGCTCACCTGAGAGCGACAGCTTAGGGCATTGAAGAGGTCGAAAAACACGAAGCAGGTGAAGGCCATGGTGGTGGTGCGTGGAGTGCTGGTCCCATTCTCTGGGATCTGGAATCCAGTACATAGGTATGCTCACGGCAGAGAGGGAAGGGGACCCCCTGCCTTAGAGCTGAGGGGTACAGTCAGTGTGCCAGGGGTGACCTGTGTGTGCTGCCTGAGGATTGCTGGTCAACCCAGCCCCAAAGGTGTACCCTAGAAGCTGACTCTGTGCCAGCCCCAGGGGACTCCCACCCTGGGAAGAGCCTTGTCTTCTATCAGGAGTGTCAGCTGCCAGCACAGGTAGCAGAGAAAGGAAAGACAGCTGCTCCTAGAGCAGCAGTTCTCAACCTGTGGGTCACAACCCCATTGGGGATTAAACGACCCTTTCATAAGGGTCACCTAAGACCATCGGAAAACATTATGATTCATAAAAGCAGCAAAATTACTGTTATGAACTAGCAATGGAAATAATTTTATGGTTAGGGGTCACCTCACATTGGGGACTGAATAAAAGGGTCGCAGCATTAGGAAGGTTGGAAACACTGTCCTAGTAGGTAACTGCCTCACAGGTCACGACACTACCCAGACCCACAGATCAGAACCCATGAGGAGCCGGGCGGTGGTGGCGCACGCCTTTAATCCCAGCACTCAGGAGGCAGAGGCAGGTGGATCTCTGAGTTCGAGGAAAGGCGCAAAACTACACAGAGAAACCCTGTCTCGAAAAATCAAAAAAAAAAAAAAAAAAAAAAAAAAAAACAGAACCCATGAGGAGTGTGGGACAGCTGGTCCCAAAGACAATGTGGCATGGTAAGAATGTCGAGGCCTAAGCTGTGTCTGCCTGGGTTGACTCGTCACAAGGACTGGCCAGAGCCCCAGTGAGATGGATTTGTGGGTGCAAGTTTTCAGTTTTTGCCTCCGTTCCCTCCCCACCCCCCCACCCCCAGAATCCTCATCAGGCTGGAATACAGCTCAGTCAGTCCAGTGTACACCCCTCTACCCTGGCTACCAGGCAGGCTTTCAGAAGGAAGCTCCCATCTGGATGCCCTGGAGGACATGTCTAAACACAATGGGGATCCCTGCTCAATTCCTCGTCTTGGCCATATATAATCATGCCAGAGGCTCTCTGGCCCAATGGGCCTTGAAAATTGACCTGTGCTAAGATAGTCTCAGAGTGTAAGGGGATCCTGTAGTCTCCTGTGACAATAAAAATAGTGCCCGTCATCCAAACACCCGCTCTCTGCTCTCTGGCCACAGTACTTGACCCACACACTTCTCCCCACCTCTCCCAGGCATCTGTACCCACCACCCACTCTCTGGCCTCTGATAACACCAAGCTGTGTGTCTGTCTCCCCGGAGAGATGACCCGGTCCTGCACAGGGCTCCCGACTGTTCCTGAGCAAGCCAATGCCTGCCCTGCTCACCTCTCTCCAGAAGATAAAGAGGGTCCCTCCTATGATGACAGCAGCTGACATGAGGACCTTCAGGATCAGGGCTCTGTTCAGGATCGTGTCCCTGACGCTCCGGGGAGGCCTCCGCAGGGCATCTCTGTCCACAGGCTCCACCCCCAGGCTGTGCAGAACAAGGCAAGTGATGCTTTGAAATAGCAAGGTCACTTGGAAGCTGGGCCAGGTGGCACACACCTGTAACCCCAGCTTTCCGGAGACTGAGGCAAGAGGATCTCTGAGTTCAAGGCCAGCCTAGGTTATATAGTGAATCCCCCAACTAGCCTGAACTACAGAGTAAGAGCCTGCTTCAAAAAGCCAAAATTTTAAAAAGGACCCCTGAGACCCATGCTTCAGCCTTGCCCTCTGGACTGTCGCCGGTGAGCGGGGCTGTTCTTGTCCCACAGTGACTATCCCAGGGATAGCCATAGCTCTCTACTCACCTCTCTCCAAGCATCTAGATGCAGAGAGGCCAGAGCACCTAACAAGGACCAGCACCAGGCTTTGGCCTTTCCCATGTCATGAACTCCTGACACCCCCCCCCCCCCATGCAGTTCCCACTACCATGCGGGGTCCTGAGTGAGGCCTGGAGAAACAGGACCCAGCTCTGCCCTCCAGGGTCCATCTGTCAGAGACTCATCATTTGTCACTCGGAAACATCAGGAGATGTTGCACATGGGCTAGAGACCTGGGAGCTACCTCACCTGCTGTCTTACACACACAGGGAGCCTTGTGGAAGCTGCAGCCCTCCCTGGGCTCTGGGAAAATGAACCGGCCTTCCCTCTCGGTGTACCACAGCAGATGGTTATAGTGATGTTAACAGTAACAGCAGCCCCGTTTGGAATGACACCTCCCTGTGCAAGCAACCAAGGCTGCTGGGCACACAGGTCTCCTGTGCCACCAATGAGTTCATGAGCATCTATGTCATGCAATCACCATCCAAGGGTCAAGGGGCATCACGTCCATAGTCACCAGCTACAGTAGGGATGGATCCAACCAGTCAGAAAAATGATACTTTCCCCTTCGGGGAAAAGGATGGGCAGAGGCCCAAGGATGAGGCCACCACTGTTAGAGTGATCAGGGAGGACTTCTTGGAGGTGGTGACCTGACTATACAGTGGGACTGAGCCATGGGCTCCAGGAGAGGGCCGTAACAGAGACGGCACAAGGCTCCATTTCTGCATTCATGCCCTTCAAGAAGCTGCTCACACTTCAGCAGCCTGGAGATTCCAAGAGGGAGCTCACGTGGTCCTGCCTTCAGCCTGCTGCCTCACCTCTGCGCCGGCGGCCCATCCATGATGATGTTCACCCACAGGATCTGCATGGCATTGAGGGGGCTGGGCAGGTTGCACACGGTGGACAGGGTAATGAGGCTCAGGGCTGCAATACTCCTGCAGGGCACAGGCGACAGGCAGCCCATCAACGCATGCACCAGATTCAGTGCCCGCTGACCACGGAGGAACATCTGCCTCTGCTTACGTGCTCAGCTGGAAGCGGACGAAGTTCTTGATGTTGTAGAAGATGCCTTTGCCTTCCTCCACCGCGCTCCTGAAAGGGAGGTGAGTGAGAGTGGGCAGAAAGGTCCTGGGGGCGTGGCGTGGTCAGCTCACACGCAACAGTGCAGGTAGCCCTTGCTGGCACAGCTGGGACACACTGGTAGGAGGTGATGTCCGCCCTTCTGTGCAAATCCTGTGTGTGACCCCTCTCGGCTGGAGCCCAGGGCCCCAACTGTGCTCAGATGCTGACAGTACAATCCACCTGCAGTTGGACACAGCAGAGCGAAAGAAACCCAAGCTCCGCACACACTGGAGGCAGAACAGGAAAGGGTCTGAGAGGTTCAGAGACATTACCATCTGTCCGTCTGTGTGTGTGTGTGTGTGTGTGTGTGTGTGTGTGTGTGTGTGTGTGTGTGTATGTATGTACCTGTGCGGTTTATGTGTCAGAACATGTGTGTGGGGGCCCTAAGAACATGTTGGATGTCCTGCTGCCTCTCTGCCTTACTCCTTTGGAATCAGTGTTTCACAGAGCCTGGAGCAAAGCTGGCAGCCAGCAAGCCCCAGGGGTCCTCCTCTCTCTGCCCCTCACGGTGCCAGGCTTACAGGCACACTCCTATGGCTATGTCCGTGGGACACACACACACTAAATCATTCTTGGAAGAGAATTTTTAATAGCAGAGAAATGTTGCTACACTGGTGCCTCTGCTGTTCAAAGCACTCTTCCAAATACTCTTCTGTACCCTAAGTACTGATTTACTAAAGATTAGTCTTAATTATAGCTTCAAATTAAATCCAGAGAAAGGCAACTTTAATCCTCCTGCCTCACCTCCTGAATTCAGGAATCCCAGATCTGTGCCTCCTTGTCGGGCCTCCAACTGTGACTTCTATTTGTGCAGATGTGCGCACATGTGGGGGTCAGAGGACAGCCTGGGTGTCAGCCCCAGGATGGCTGTCCTTCTTTGACACAGATCTCTCACTGGCCTGGAGCTCACCGATCAGGGGAGGTTGGCCAGCTAGCCAGCCCTGGTTCTGTCTGGCTCCTCCGTAGCGGTAGGATCAACAGCCTGTGCCCCCTGCCTGCATTTTCTCGTGAACTCAGGGTGCCACACTCGGTTCCCCATGCTTGCAGGCCAAGCGCTTTGCTGCCTGAGCCATCCCTCCTGCCCCCAAATGTGATTTTTAACAGCTCTCTGTTGCTGACTAGTCAAGTGGCTCTAGGTTTTCTTTATATCCCACAGTGACGAATGACAGGATGGCCCCAGGACCCTGTTTTGAGAAGTTCCATACGTTTGGAGTGAGCTTGGGATACAGCTCTCTTCAGAGAGTCCCCTGAACCCTGAGCAAGGCTCCTCATACCCACTACAGCACATCCTGGGGATGCTGGTTATAGCAGCTCACATAATAGTTGAGAAGTCATCGTCCACCAGAATCATGTTGGCAGCCTCTTTGCTGACGTCCGTCCCTGTCTGGCCCATGGCGATCCCGATGTCCGCAGACTTCAGGGCGACTGAATCATTCACACCGTCCCCCGTCATGGCTACAATGGCCCCTGACTCCTGCAATGCCTTTGGGAAGAGCAGGTGATGGAGGGCCGCAGCCCGAGGACCCTCCTAGACTTTCTTGAGGCCCTGCCTGGTGAACCACGGAGGCAGCAGCCACCCATCGGCTAGACGCTGGGGTCAGCTGGCCTGGTCACAGTCACTCTACTGCAGTGGCTGTGGAAGAGGGCATGGCCCTGAACTACCCAACCTTAGTTTCTCCATCTGCAAAGCAAGTGGCAGCCACCGTCCTGGACTCACAGGCTGTTGACACCCCGTCTAGGACAACAGAAGTGACTGGTAAAAGTTGCTATCAGTCAGCAGTAAATAAAGCCATTAGAAGCCTTATCTCTGGGCTGGCAAGATGTCTCAACGGGTAAAGGAGCTTGCCGTCGATCTCGATGACCTGAGTTGTAGTCACGTGGTTAATAGAGAACTGACTCCCACAGGTTGTCACCTGACCTCTATACATGCACTGTGGCCTGTATGCACCCATGTTCATATATACAAAATTCGGTCTCTCTCTCTCTTTTTGGAACAGTGTCTTTCTGTGTAGCTCAGACTGTCCTGGAACTCATGATCCTCCTGCCTCAGCCTCCTGAGTACTGGGATGACAATTGTGAGCCAGCATATGTGGCTGGCATTTATTCTTCATCACTAAAAACTAAATGCCCCAGTACCCCCTCAAACAGCCCCCAAAGAGCAAAACATGGCTACCAAGGAACTCAGGGAACTGCCAGGTGCAGACGTGGGAAAGCTCTGAAACTCACAGGCTTCTGGTTGACAAAGAGAAACCATGGCAGGTCCGTGTTGGCACCTAAATATTTTCTCTTTACATCATCTCATTCCCAGGGCTGTTCCTAGTGTCTGTGGTCAGTGGTCCCCAGCTTCCCAACAACCCCATAAGGGGATCTACCCCTGTTTTAGCTGGGAAGTGCCCATCCCACTAGAGATGGCATTTCCCAGCATCCTCTGCAGCTAAACATGTGATAGCATTCTGGCCCGCAAGCAGGGATGGATACATGGGAGGCATGCAGCTGTCTAGAGAAGAAAGCTACAGCCAAGGTCATCTTAGCAGCATGCCACCCCCCCCACCGCCCCCACCATCCCTGTCACTTGGCCAGCTGAGAGCCTGTCACCCTGGATGGTCCCACCCTGAATGGACCCTGTCGTTCGGCCCAGTTACCTTTATGATTTTAACCTTGTGCTTTGGGCTGGTCCTGAAGAATATAGACACCTGGCATAGGGAGTCAAAGAGTCATCAGTGGACAGAGGAGCTGGAGGACCTCTCCATCCCTGCCCCATCTGCCCCCGCCCCGGGAGAACCCACCTGCCTCACTCGGGCAGCCAGTGCGTCCTGCTCCATGCCTTCCACCTCCTCTCCAGACATGGCTTTCGGCTTCTCGTGGCACAGGCCGATGGTTCTTCCTTGGGAGGGGAGTTAAGGCTGAGGAGTACCTCCAGGGCCCGAACTGTGGTCCTGTCCCACCCAGCATGCAACACACCTGACTTTAGCCCATCTGAGTCAGTGTCTGATAACCACGGTGAACCTCTATTTGCCCATGAGGAGGAAACTACGTGAAAATTGGCTTCCCTGAGGCCACACTGCTGGGAAATGCCACTGGCACCTCACATGAGGGCTCTGAGACTCTAGCTGTGACCTCACGGCCTTGGGCTGAGTTGGGCAAAACCACCCTGACAGCTCGATAGACCTAACTAGAGGAGGCAGAGGGGGTCTGCCGGCCCACCGCTGATGAAGAGACGTGAGGACCAGCGTGGCTCCATGACTCGTCAAAGACGCCCAGCCGGTGGAGGGAGCCAGACTGGAACTCCACGGTGTGGGTGCCACCTGTGCCTAAACAAGCCCCTAAACACATAGCAGGTCCTCAGTTTACATGTGGACTTTCCCCCAGTTTGGACACAAGCTGGAGCAGGGAGCACTGGTCTACACAGCTCAGATCCCTGTCAGCTGGGCGTGATCCCTTCACTCCCAGCCTCACCCTGGTTACCTATGGCCATGGCCGTCTCTAAGGCATCTCCTGTCACCATCTTCACTGACACACCAGACTCCGAGAGGACCCGGACTGCTTCCTTGACGCCAGCCCTCGGGGGGTCGATGATACCCACCAGACCCAGGAATGTCAGTCTCCCCAGCTCGGGCCCAGATGCCAGGGCCAGCACTGTGAGAGACACAAGGACAGGTTTCTGGGGGCTGGTGACCATCTTTAGTCCTAGCAAGCCCTACTGTGACCCTCAGGGCAGCACAGGGGTGCTGGATAGGGAGGGAGGGGTGTGGGAATAGCTCAGATGATTGTCTGAGGCTGGCTGTCCAGCTGAAGCTCCTGGGGGATGACAGACAGGCATCTGGGACAGCCCCGCCTGCCGCGGGCTCAATGCACACTCATCTGTTCCCAAAGTAGGGAGGTCGAGGTAATGGACAGGGTGAGCCCAGCGCCTCTCCTAGCCCTGCCCCCATGGAGTACAAGTATTCCAGAGTGTTTTGAGATGTTTTCTCCAACAAGGGACAGGGAAGCAAATGGCACAGGGTTTAACATCAGCCCGAGGGGAAGACACTGACCCTGAAGCCGAGAAAGCTGCATACGCCACGAAATGAAGTGTCTCCCCTCGTCTGAGAGTTCTAGGTTTTCATGGCAGGGAGTGAAATGGTGCCTGAAATTATGTTCATGGCACAAACTTCATATGCCCTAGAGAACTTGGCGAGCAACACCCCTTCCATACACGAGCCACACCTGGATTAGCAGGTGTCATGGGGGGCTAGGGGTGACTAGGCACTTTGTGGACTGTCACGTTGGGAATTGCTGTCAGCTCACCCCTGCCTGCATTCTGGCTGGTGGCAGATTCACCCCGGACCCTGCTCTCATGCATCCCGGCAATACTACAGGCCAACTCAAGGCCCCAGAGGCCAGAGGAGGGAGCCATGACACCAACCCCGCAGGCCAAGCGACCCCATCTTCTTCTCTTCCTGCTGCCAGCAGGACTTCTGTTGGGGCGTCAGAGGCAGGGGGATGCCCCCATTGTTGTACATGCTACAGTGATGGATTACTTCCTCAAAGGCCCCCTTCATGAAGTAAACGTCTTCCTGATCCTTGGAAAAGAAAAGGAAAAAAATCTGCGGTCACTGGGTGCTTCCTGCTGCATAGACTGCTGCCTCACACTTGAGCTTATACAAGAATTCCCTCAAAAAACAGGTCCCTCGGTCCACACCTGGACTTCCCAGTGCAGGTTAATAGGAGTCAGAGACTCCACAATGCTAATCCCCAGGGCTGAGGCTGGGTCAGGGTCCCCACTGTGAGCATTAGGTCAGAATGCCCAGTCCATAGTTGTCACCTCAGTTTGGAAGTCTTGGAAGGTGCTGGGCTTGCCATCCTCTCCCCCCAGGTGTTTGTGCCTTGTTTTGGTAACGGACAGAGGACGGCACAGCCATGGTGTACTCCTGTCATCCATCCCAGCTCTCAAATGCTAAGGTAGGAGGCTTCCAGGTTAGCTTGGGCCCCACAGTGAGACTCTGTCTTAACACAAGCCAGGCTCACCTCATTCTTCAGGCTGCACCTCACTGCCATCCACTTCTGCTCTGAGCTGAAGGGAATCTCTTTTCTCCGTGTGTAGGAATCTTTGACACCACCTAAGTTCATCTAGGGCGTAAGGTGGGATATTTTCAGGGAGTCATCCCAAACCAGGCTGTAGGCCAGTGGTTCTCAACCTTTCTAATGCTGCGACCCTTTAATACAGTTCCTCATGTTGTGGTGACCCCCAACATAAAATTATTTTTGTTGCTACTGCATAACTGTAATTTTACAACTGTTATAAATCGGAAATTGGAAATATGTGTTTTCCAATGGTCTTAGGTGACTTACTGTGAAGAGGTCGTTTGCACACACACACACACACACCCTTGTGACCCATGGGTTGAGAACCACTGCTGTCTGCTAAGCTCTGTCTGTGTAAATCAGCATCCAAACTACAGAAACCCAGCAGTAGCTATGGGAAGGCTGCCTGCTTCAGAGGTCTCACCCAGGAAACAGTTTCTTTTCTCTTGTCCCAGGACCAAGCCTCTGGAAACTGCTGAGGAACAACGGCATTTGGGAGGGTGCAGTCTGGGGCCTGCAGGATCATCACCCGTGTGGTTGTGGTCTTTGGTGACTTTGGGGCCTATTGCTCACCAGGTCAAACTCGGGTTTCCAAAAGCAAACCAGTGTTAGCCAGGCACCCATGCATTAGAGACAGTGTTTGAGAGAGAAAGGAATTCCAGAACTCCGGCGGAAGTGGTAGAGGTGGGAATGGATTGGGGAAGGAGGGGCTCTGAGGACCCCACTTCCCTATTGAGACAGGGTCTCACTATGTAGCCCTGGCTGGCCTGGATTTGCTATGTAGGTCAGGCTGGACTTGAACTCACAGAGATCTGCCTAGCTCTGCTTCCCCAGTGCTGGGATTAAAGGCGTGTGACACCATGCCTGGAAAGGGTTCCCCATCCCCTCATCCTCCTCAAAGCACAGATATGTCAGCAGCCCCCACGGTGGTGAACAGTGGCTGTGCTGTGGAATGCTGTCCTCTGAGAAAGGCAGCCATCAGTATTGTTATCCGAGAAGCTGTGACTTATCCCGAGACCCTCAAAATGAGGCCTGTTGAAGGAGGGGTAGAGTGGGCATCAGATCCTCACCTCCTCAACCCTACCTCAGCTGCAGCAGGGATATGCTAGAACATTCGGAAGGCAGAAGATTCCCGGCAGGGGGCACACCAGATCAGGGCTGGGCTCCACAGGGATGCTGCTGTTTATAATCACCATGCTACTTTGAGCAAACCCAATGAAGTCAATCACCCACCAAGCTGGGCCTGGGTGGAATTGATTCTTTTGGGAGTGCCCTATCTGGGTGAGTAGATGTTTGTTTGTGTCACCCCAGGAGTTCACAAAGCATGGAGATGTGATGGTGGGCAGGGTGTGGTGGCACATGCCTGTAGTCATACCTACTCAGAGGCTGAGGCAGGATTGTGAGTTCAAGACCAACCTGGGCCACACAGCAAGGGCGTTTCTCAAAGTAAAAAGTACTGGAGTTTAACTCAGGCAGAGACGATGCCCTGGGTTCCGTTCTCACTACCGAAAACTAATAACATTGTGAAAGTGATATAAGAGAGGGGTGGGCAGATCACAAACACGATGTCTAGGGCTGGGGAGATGGCTCAGCAGGTAAGAGGGCTTGCTGTGCAAACCTGAGGACTGAGTTCGAATCCCCAGAGTCCGTGTCTACTAGTCAGGGTTTCCTAAAGGAGCAGAACTGATGGAACCAATATAATTGCATGAAAAAGAAAGCAAGCAAGCACAGATATCTGCTTAATATATGCATATCTATGCACAAACACATTTTCATTTGTTTGTTTGTTTGTATTTTGTTTTCTGAGACAAGGTTTCTCTATATAACAGTCCTGCCTTTCCTGGAACTCACTCTGTAGACCAGGCTGGCCTCGAACTCACAGAGATCTGCCTGCCTCTGCCTCCCAAGTGCTGGGATTAAAGGCATTCATGTCAGTTATAATCCTTGTTTCTGTAATTGGTCACATGGCCTTAGCTGGTATTTATAGCTATGTTGACATCAGACATGATTGCTCCCGGCAGCACTGATCTACTCCTGAGAGGATGTTGGGCATCGAAGACACTCCGTATAGAATTTGTTTTCTTCTTGGCAAAAAATGGCCTGTTGGGCAGAGAACTGCCCTTGCCTCAACTGCTGACAGTATGTACGCTGTCCAATCCGGACGAGCAGGACACGAGGAAAAGCGACTGATGAAACTTGCCAAGACACAATGGGACAGTCTTTCAAATTTTCCTGCCTCTGAGGATGGTCTGTCTGATAATCTAGGCCTGTGGCCAACAGTGGACACCCCCATGTTGCAGAGAAACACTGGGTGACTGTCCAGGCAGCCAGCTGTCTCTGTCATTTCTTGCATTTTTCAGAAGTTGCTTGCTTGCACTTCCTGCTTACTCAGGTAATATTATTTTCTTTCTCAGGTCTTTGATGGCGTTGAAGACTAGATGGTTACAGTTAAGATCCTCTCGTATCTTAGCTAAGAGCATTTCAGGTACAAGATTAGGCTCTTCAAGATAGGACAGCTTTTGGAGTGATCTCTGTGACTCGCCAATTACCTTTGGACATTTAGTGTGTGTCTCTTGCTTGATGTTGTTCTTGTTGGTTGTAGTTCCATTTTTGTTTATGATATTACCTTTTCTTTCTTCTAGACAATACTTGATTATTGTTCTTGTTGTATATAACTTTGTATTAGGTTTAGAACCTTCTTTTTTTTTTTTAAAGATTTGTTTATTTATTATGTATACAGTGTCCTGCTTACATGTATACTTGCATGCCAGAAGAGATCCAGATCTTACTATAGATGGCTGTGGGCCATCATGTGGTTGCTGGGAATTGAACTCAAGACCTCTGGAAGAGCAGCCAGTGCTTTTAACCTCTGAGCCATCTCACCTCTCCATAGAACCTTCTTATTTAGATAAAAAAGGGGGAAGTGTTGTGGGAATTCATTCCATTCAACCAATGACTTTTGGGGTGTCTGATCAAATGAGTGTGGTCTTGTCTGCGTGTATGACCATTTAAGAGGAGAGAGAGGGGTCACGATCTCTCTCGGGTAGCGAGGACCGGATCAGGCAGTGTGGAGCGGCTTGCTGTTGGTTCCCATCACCCCTGGGCGGAAACCGAGGACAATGGCTGGAGGAGCGGTGGTGTTTATCTCGTTCTGTAGCCGTGACGGTATTATCCCCATTTTATATCTTAATAATTCCTGAGCTCCTTTAACAGACTCTTGTGGGTTCACCTAACCACTTTTTTCTACTACCAATTCTGTCCTTCCTCTGCCCTCAGCAAGCACTGAGTGACCCACACCTTCATTCCTGACGGGTCTGTGCGCCAGCCTATCTGGCCTGGGTTGTAGTTTTCCATTGACTTTAATCACAGGACATGGTGGCACCAAGAGATGCCTGAAGGGTCCCCTGCACTCCAGACATACTCTTTCCCACCTCCCTTGTGGAGAAGCAATCCAAGTGCCCCTTGGCAATCAGTACCCTGCTACCACTGTGCTTCCTTTCTTGGCCTGCCTGCTTCAGGGGATCAGAAACCCAAAGTGGCCAGGGGGGAGTCTGGGCTTCCAGTTCGGTGGAATGTTCACTGTGTCTCCCAGCGGGAGCATTTCTCCTTTTGGAACCAAAACTTCTAGGTCAGCAAGTGGTTATGTGTGCCTGAACCCTTCAGTGCTGCTGGAAGACAGGATGGGTGACAGGGAGACAGCTGGGCCTGCTGGCTGCCAGCCTGGCTTAGGTTCTGTGAGAGACCCCGTCTCAAGGGAACAACTGGAGAGCCACAGAGAAGGACACCGATGTCCTCTTCTGACCTCTTACCTTCATGGCCAGCACTATCAAGGCCCCTTCTGTGGGCTGTCCCATTACAGTGTTCTTCCTGATGACAGCGTTGTTGGCGACGCAGCCTGCCTGAAGGGGGGCGGTTGGAATATCTGCAGTCAGTACTGAGATCTAGTGCCTGGGTCCTGAGCTCACCCACACCATGAAAAGGTTGGACACAGTAGGCATGGCCTTAGAGCTGGGCCAGGCAACAAGAGTTTCCTTCAAATAAGTCGGTGTCTTAGAAACACACAAGGATCCCCCCCACCCCTCCGTCTTTAGGCATTGGACTCAGGGCCTCTCACATGCTAGGTAAGCCTTCTACCGCTGAACTGCACACCCCAGATTTGTTTTTAGTTTTTTTATTCTGAGATAGGGCTTGCTAAGTTGCCCAGGCTGCCCTTGAACTTGCAACCCTCCTGTCTCAGTGTCCTCAGTAGCTGGGCTGCCAGGCTCAGGAGGAGCGCTGGTTCCAGAAGCTGTCGTAGGGGAGCCCTGGGTGCAGGAGGACTAGGGTATGAGGTAGGGTGGTGGGGTGGTAGTGACTGCTCGTGGGTCTCCACTTGGGGTGACACTGTGCTCTGGGGCTGGAGAGTGGCAGAGGAGGATAAGCAGGCATCACGTAAGCCACAGGCTTTATGGAAGTGTTCTGCAGTACACAGCTAGCTTAGAGAAAAGTCTAGAAACCTGACAGAGGAGTGTGGGCGGCTGCTGCTGCTTCCCTGCCACACTGGAGCTGAGCTCTGCCCTCCAGGGGCTTCTCTGAATTTGTTTCTGAGGGGGCTGAGGGGAGGGAAGGCCGCAGAGGAGGGACTGTTTGGGAGGAGTCCCTGACTCCCTGGAGGCCGCTTGCCATGTGGACTTACGTGGAGGACCGCACCCGACACAGTGTGGGTGATCCGCACCCACAAGCCCCGCCAGGCTCTGCCTTCCCTTGCCCCTCCTCCTTCCCATCCAGCTGGGGGTGATGTCTGCAGCTGTGACAGCCTAAGCCCTGTGGTCAGTCAATCACCCCCTTTATCATTCCAGGCAAGTCGCCCTCTGTCCCACTATGGCGACCCAACACTCACCTCCACCAGCTTCCCCACCGAAACATTGCTGAATCCCTTGATTACTTCCTTGGATGGGAGGAGGTACACAGTCCCTTCGCCGCTGTACCCAACTCCACTGACCTGGAGGGACATGGCAGATGGAGGGTATTACCAAGAGCCAACCCCCAAACCCTGGATGGCACCCGTTCCCTCTCCTAGGGTCACCCCAAAGCCATGAGCCTATACGTGAGGATGAGCCTGCAGACTGTCTGCCGCCCAGGACCTCTCTCTGACAGTTGAGGTGCACGTGCTATGACAAACTACTGCAAGCGCTCCTGGTGGAGGTTGTGGCTGCACCTTCCAAGCTAAGGCACAAACAAACGGAGACGTCTTGGGAGGAGCCGTACCTAAGCCAAGAGGAAATATCCAGGCTTCTGCAGTTCATAAACCTGTCAGTCAAGATAGTGCAGCCCGGGGCTGAAAAGCAACCAGCCATGGAATGTTTGCAGATGGGCATGACAGTGTGCCAGGAAAATGGTATTGAGGGGCCAGAGAGGTGGAGTGCATATTGGTCTTGTAAGGGACCCAAGTTCAGTTCCCAGCACCACCACTAGATGGCTCCAAACTGCTTGTAACACCAGCTTCAGGCGACTCCAACACCCTCTTCTGGCCTCCAAGGGCACTGCACCTATGTGCCTATACCAGCCCAAAGGCATACACATAAATAAATCTGTCTCAAAAAAAAAAAAAAAAAAAAAAAAAAATACAACAAAAAAACCTTTAGAAAGTAAAAAATATTATTGACAAGAGTAGGCCATGGCCTATGAGCCCCCATTTGCTGATCCTTTGCTCTGGAGAGCTCTGTGGGAAATATATCCAGACACGAAATTGCTGGTTCAGGAGGGTGCCATGTGAGAGTCAGAGGAGCACAAACAGTGAGTCACTCGGTTAGTTTGTCACGGGTGGTGACAGGTACTTATGTAGCCTTTAAATTTTGTAACGAGCTGGGCATGGTGACCCATGCCTGGCAATCCCAGCATGTGGGAAGCTGAGACAAGACGATTCATCACAATTTCCGGGACAGTCTGGGCTACATATTGAGTTCCAGCCTAACCCAGACTATACAGAGTGGGACCCTGTTTCAAAAAGCCCCAAAGCAGCAGGGCCTAGTGGCCCAAGCCTGTAATCCTAGCTAGCGGAGAGGCCGAGGCAGGCAGATCTCAAGTTCAAAGTCAGCCTGGATACAGAGCAAGGCCTTGTCTCCAAGTGAAAGTGAAGAGCGAGTTGGGGGAAGACAGCTCAGGGTTAGTGTTTACTGGGCATGCCAGGCAATCCCCAGACCACAAAAGCGGGGTGGGATGTTAGTGAGGGGCTGGGAGTCCAGTTCAGTAGTACAGTGCCTGTCTAGCATGGAGGAGACCCTTTGGTTCTATCCTGCAAAAATATAAAAAATAAAATTTGATAATTAAAAAAATCAAGGAAGCCATCTTAAATTGGTCACCATACTTTCCTAGACAGACCTCCAAGGTATTTACTTCTTCCTCGCTGTTCTAGGAGACTCTGTGTAATCTCTCTGGGCAGGGGAAGGGCCGGCAGGGTACACCTTGGTCTCCTGCCTTGTGGGATAGCACGAGGCTCACCTCAGCGTGGAACCCATCGGATGTGACGAGCTGGGTCGCTGTCATTTCGTTGGCTGTCAGTGTGCCTGTCTTGTCAGAGCAGATGACGTTACAGCAGCCTGGTGCCATGGGAACAGGTTTAGAGAGATGAGTTGTCCCCGCCAAGCCTCTTGAGTGTGAGCAATCCCAACCCCACACCTCCACCTGACTCAGTTTCCATTGCAGGGAGGGAACCCTCACCAAGAGTCTCCACGATGGGCAGCTTCTTCACAATGACCCGCTTCTTAGCCATCCTCAGCACCCCCAGGACCAGCGTCACCATGACAACGATGGGCAGCCCCTCTGGGATGGCCGCCACAGCCAGGCTGAGTAAAAAAGCAGAACCAGACTCAATACACCCAAGGGTGATGGGACTTCTCAACTGGTATTGGTGACCATGCTTTCATCTAGTGAAGCTTGTCTTTGCCTCAGTGGACATTCTATTCAATTTCCAATCCCACAATGCACTTGCCTCCTTCACTATTTCTGCCCTGACCGCTTCGCTGCTAAACTACCTCCCCAACTTGGGACAGGACCTCTCCAGTCAGGCGGTCACGGTCTCAGTGTGAACTGGGGCTTCTTAAGTCCTTTTTCATTCCCAGCATTCTCATTTATTAGAGGCAGAGTCTCAGGGGGAGCACATGGCAATTCCAGAGTCAGGGAACTAGGGGGAGGGGAAACTGAGGCTGGGGTGTACTATATGAGAGAATTTTAAAAAAAGGAAAGAAAGTGGCAGAGGTTTGGGCATGCAGACTCTTCTCCTGGTCCCTTGACTTTCAGTTGTCTAATGGTTTAGCTATTCTTCCTGTGGATACCAAAGGAACCAAAGCACAAGCACAGTGAACCCCCGCCCCCACACACACCTTCTCGATAGAGTAGATCTGATGGCTGCCCGCTTCATCACCACCCCCTCCAGTGCTGAGAGCCCCACGCTGAGATCTTGGGAGAAGCTGGGCACACCCTCCCTCCAGCACCCCCCTCCCTCTCATTTGGCCCTAGAGTGAGGGCGGAGATGTGAGACTTGTAACCACAGTAAACTCTCAAGTATTTTCATTAGAGGGAACCGCCCACAGTAATTTCTAGAAAGGGACTACTTGGGGTGTAGGAGTGACAGGGTAAGCTCTGTTACCTGAGAAACCACACAAGAGATAAGAAAAGGGACAGTCTAAGCCCTGCTGAGCATGTGACAATCCCCGCCCCCCAGACCAGGTTTGCTCAAAGCAAGCTGTCACCCAGAGGTCTGGGACAGGAGTATTGCTAGAACAACTATCCTTCCCAAGAAACTGGAGGCCAGGTACCATTTTAATACAGTGACTATATTTGTTTTTACAAGACAGGGTCTCATGTACCTCAGGCTGGCCTTGAACTCACTGTGTAGCGAAAGATAACCTTGATCTTAATTCCTCCACCTCACAAGCGTTGGGATGAGGTAGGAGCACAGCCACACCTGGTTTCTGTGGCCCTGGATTCGAACCCAGGGCTGCATGCATGCTAGATGAGTGCTCAACCATGAGCCACGTGTCCAGCCTTACAAGGACCTAATTTTAAAGCACTGATAATGAAAAATTTAAATATAACAGAGTTCAGATTAAAAGCCATTTCTGGCTACATTGGTGAAGGGACAGCTTTTTGCCCTCTGTGCTCCTCAGGCTGAGGTGTCCAGTTGACACATGCTGAAGGGACAGATGTGAGATCATGAATATCCATGAGTACCTGACTCTTGCTGGTGCAGAGCGAACACTCAGCTCGGGCTAGTGAAAAGTCAGAAAAATTGGTGGGGGCTCACAGGACCTCGTCACCCACGGGACCTCAGTGCATTAAATGGTGAACGCTGTCATGATTTGGTGTCCCACTGAGGAAGGGAAGAGAGGTTGGTGAAAGAGCTGAGGTGGTAAAGACATCTGCCGCCACCCTCTGATGATCTGAGTTCCATCCCCGGGAACCACATAAGGAGAGAACTGACTCCTGCAATTTGTTCCCTGACCTCCATATGTCACTGTGCTACATGGGCACCCTCATCCCCAAATAAGTAAATGTTTAAAAAAAAAATCAGTGGTATGTGTGCTGTAGCATAGGGTTTCTGATCACACCGGTATAAGCTGCCCTCTAGACAAGCATGGTTCACGCCTGCAGTCCCAGCGCTCAGGAGGTAGAGACAGGAGGATCACCACCAGTGTGAGGCCAGCCTGAGTGACACTGACAGACCCTGGTCTTAAAAAAACACAAGAAAAAAAGAAAAGGAGAAATAGAATATGAATAGTGACCTTTCCCCCGGAGACAATGGGCCATTCAAAGATAAGTTATATAAACCAAGATTACTGAATTTGGTCAAGGAGCTTGGGTGGGGCGTGGGGGGGGCGTTTCCATGGTGACAGTGAAACCAGCTTCCTTGGTTTTATGGCCTGGGCTGGCCAGACCAGCTAAGCTAACATTTACAGAAGATTATGAGGGGACACCCCCGTATGTCAAGGGATGGGCGTAGTGTGCACACCTGGATATGATCATAGCAATGAAGAATTAATCCACAAACTAATAAAGATTAGGAGAGATCAGGAATAGCAAGTTCTTTGAATCATCTTTAGTAACGCTCCAGCCACCAGGGCCTGAGGAAAAGTTTTTAGAAGAACAATTCTCTGTTTTTATTTATTTTGGAAAGTTTCCTTCTTGGCTTTTCTGCCATTTCTACCTTCCGATTCGGTGGTTTGGGTTGACTGGTCTACCACAAAAGCTTGAAGGCTTTTGCCTATTCAGTGTTCCAGGGAAAGGAACGGATTCTTGTCCAGGTGCGCCAAGAGCCATGGAGGGAAGGATCAATGTGGACACATGATGTCTTTCTAGGCTCCTGCAACTTTTGGTGGTTTATAAGATAGGAGATAATATAGAATAGTAATTCTTTGTGGTTAGGGGTGGGGATGGGACCCAGCACCTTGTCCACACCAGGGAGGTCCCACGCCCCTGAGCTCTGCGCTGCTGGGCTACACCCTTCTGTGGAGGGTGGCGTTTCAGCATTTTGGCTCCTGAGGGCTCTGCTGTCTCCAGCAGCCCCTCAAGGCTCAGAGTCCCCTCCTCCTCTACCTCTCTCCATGGCTTCATCAACAGGGCACTGTTAGGGTGCTGAGACCTGCGCCTCTGGTTCTGCTTGTGCTGGGGCCTGGGACAGGCACCTTGGCACTTCTGGGAGCTTGTTAGAGATAGCAGCAGGTGTCAGTGGTCTCCTGGTGGCACTGATCTGCCATGGGCTATCCCACCCCAGGGCCTTGATACCTGCCTGGTGCTCCCTCCCTTCCTGCTATTCTCTTAACTGGCCCTTTTCAACTTTTTGCTTTCAATATGACGTGGAAAACATCCCTGATTACCTTCCCAGTCCCGCACCCCTTTCTGTCTCCTTCTCACTCTCTCTCACAGCCAACATTTCCCATTGGGTATCAACACAGGCACAGATGCTAAGCTGTAACTGCGTTGTTCACCCACACTTAAATTGTTCACATTCACTTTCTCCACCAGCCTGAAAACCCCACGAGGGCCCAGGCCTGTGGCTCAGTCAGTACTTTGATGACGTAACAGATAGCCCGTCAATGCTCAGTCAATATTTGTGGGCCTCCAGCTGCCAGCTGCCCAAGGTGGGAACAGAACCTTAGCAAGTGAAGGGTCCTATCCTGCCTAGAGGCACCATGAGGGGTGGTTCAGAGTCTGGCCTCCACTCCAGGGCAATTGTGGAGCCTGAATCTCAGTTTCCCCATTTGTAAGGTGAAGCACGAGTGACCTTGTGGAACTGAGCTAGGACCAGCTAGGGTCACGTGTTCAGTTCCTGTTCCTTGTCCCAGCATCAGGAGATCCAGACTCCCACTCCTGGGCACCCAAAACCCTGGGTTCAATTCCCAACAAGGCTTAAAACAGCTACATGCAGGGTGATCAGAACCTCAAGGCCATCCTTGGCTATGTAAGATGTTTAAAGCCAGCCTGGGCTACATGAGATCCTGTCTTAGAGACAGAGAGATTGATCGATTCATCCAGGTCCTAACCCTGGGTGTATGGCTGACCTTATCCAAGAACAGGGTCCTTGCAGATGTTCTCAAGTCAAGGTGAAGGGCTTTGCTGATCTTTTTCTGTGCAGAGACGGAACCCAGGTACTTGCTTTATCACTAAATGCCCTGGCCCCTGTTAGAGTCAGTCTGGACTGTCAGTTTGATTGGATGGAGAAATTGCCAGGAGCTTAGAAAAGTGTGTCTCTGGGCCTGTGTGAGGGGACTGACTAACCTGTGTGTGGGCAGGTGACTGTGGGCAGAACCCTCTGAAACCTTGAGCCCCCTTCCTTCCTTTCCTGAGCCTTTTGTCACAGTAACTAGAAACTGATTAACACAAGGTCACACCCTGCCTGTGCTGGAGGCACAGTCTTCTCTAGGCAGGCTGCTGTGTGTTCCAGGCCCTCAGCTGGATAGACCCAAGCCCTCATCAAAGAGGGATGAGAAGGGACCCTATGCTCTATACCCCTCCCACATGCTGCTGGAGACCCGCTTTGGTGGGGTCAAGAAGTGCCTCCCCGTTCCCTGCCTGCCCGCAGTCCGCCACCTGCTCTGCTGGGGAAGGGGCCTGGGAGCCTTGACAACGCACCTGACCCCGATAGTGAACATGCTGAGAATGGGCTTGCCTTGCATCCAACCAACCAGCATCAGGAGACCTGCAAGAGACGTGATAGCATCAGCCTGGGTCCCTGGGTCCCCAGTGCCTCACCATGCTTTTAGCCCACTTCCTGAGGGGCCCTCTGGGAACTCAAATGCTGGATATAAGTAGTGACCTCAGGAGCGTGAAGCTTCTGGGCTGGAGATGAAAGATGGCCTAGCATGTATGAAGCCCTAGGTCCAACCTCCAGAATTGAGGGTGGGTGGGTGGCGGGGAGGGTAGTTCAGAGGAATTAACGTGGATATGTAGGCATGGTGGCTCCTACTTGTAATCCCAGCACTCGGGAGACTGAGACAGGAGGATGGCAAGAGTTGGAGGTCAGCATGGACCTTGTTTCAAATGAACAAAAACAAATAAAGAGAACCTGCAACCACTCATTCTACTGGGGGGAAAAATCCAGTTTTATTCTTTCAGAAAAGAGTCCTGCTGTCCAAGTCCTAAGTCCAAGCTTAGGGTGAAGAGACTGACCACCAGTTCACACTGGGACATTTCCCGTTTATATTCCCTGTCACTCTTGTGAGGGAGGGTAAGACTCTGTTGTTCTCTGTCTCTCTCTCTTTTTTTTCAGTTCTGGGAATGGAAACCCACACACATACACCAGTAAGCTCTCTACCACAGAGCCACACCCCAAACCATGGGCCACTGCTTTTTAAATATGTCTTATGTCCTGATTAAATTTCCTCTTCCTCCTTTGCCAATCCGTCATCAAATGTTTACTAAATACCAGGCTTTTGCTGGGTTCCGGAGGCATGGAGACAGAAGCAGCCTGAGCCACCACTGGGACCCATGAACAAGTTCACAAGATGCTACAGCAGTGCAGAAAAGGACTGGGAGCAGCCAGTTGTAGCCTCAGTGTCTATACCTGTTAAATGGGAGCATGGTCACACTTCCCTCCTTGCAATGGACACAAATAACAGTGAAAAGGAAGGGGGTAGGTGGCTTGTTGACAGCGCTTAGACTTGCTAAAGGATGAGAGCTTTGCTCTGCAGGGCACAGGAAACTGGGGATGGCCTGGTGTGTGCAAGTGCATGCACGTGTATGTGTGTGTAGGCACTCACAGGATGTGACCGGTCATAGAACTCAGCCCTCGACTGAAATCTTTGCTGGGACCCAGATGAATCGAGAGGAAATGAATTAGGGGGCTCTGTTAGACACAGGGGCTGGACAGGGAGCCCAGAGCCCTCTCTAGGAACTTCATTTGTCCTTGCAACCAGAAGATGCTGCTGCTGGCTAGTGAGGCCTGGCGAGGGGCAGCCATGGGCATCCGTCCCATGGCCACCTTCAGTGACCTGCTATGGATAGCTTGAAGTTGGCCACGCCAAGAGGATCTAACCAAGGGAGTTGGTAGATACCATCATCTCCTAGAGAGACTCTGCCAGCTTCCCCGCAGCTCTTGAGGGCCTCCAGGAGTCCCGGGAACTCAGCTGACACCCCTAGAAGGCCCTAGAGGGCTCTTCAGAGGAGACTCCCTCAGTGAGCACCTGTCTTGCCATAGGCATACCGTGGGATTAAGCTCTACTTTAACATGGCAGTCACCTGTGAGCCTTCCTTCCGCCTTGGACATCTGTGTGCATATGCATGTTTGAGTGTGTGCAGGTACCGAGAGTGTGCCTGTGTATGTGCACAGGTGTTCATGTGGGGCCAGAGGGCAGTCTCATCCTAGTTCTTCAGGGTGCGTCTATCCTGGTTTTTAAGATGTGGTCTCTCATGGGGACTTAGGGCTTGCTGATTTGGCTCAGCTGGCTGGCCAGAGAACTGTAAGAATCCATCTGTCTCCGCCTCCTCAGTGCTGGGATTATAAACACACATCACCACACCCAGATTTTATTTTGAACATTCTTTTAAAAGTTCTTAAATTCAAATATCTTTGTGTGTGCATGTATATGTCTGTGTATGTGTATGTTTGGGTGCACATGCCATGACATGTATGTGGAGGTCAGAGGACAACCTGCAGGAGTCAGTTTTCTCTTTTTACCTTGTGGGTTCCAGGAATTGAACTTGGGTCATCTTTGTGCTTGGTGGCAAGAATCTTTACTCACTGACTCAACTCAGTGGCCCAACTCAATGGCCCAAATCACTGACTCAACTCAATGGCCCACACCTGACTTCTTAAACGAGAGTTTTGGGAATGGAATCAGGTCCTCATGCTTTCAAGGCAAGTATTTCACAAACGAGCTAACTCACAGGCCCAGCATTATTTATTTATTGAGTCAGGTTCTCACTGTGCAACCTTGGCTGGTTTGGAACTCACTATGTAGACCAGGCTAGCCTCAAACCCACAGAGATCTGCCTGCCTCTGCCTCTGAGTACTGGGATTAAAGGTGTGCGCCACCACACCTGGCCTCCATCACCATTTTTTTTTAAAAGAAACTTCATCTTGTGGACAAGCCTGCTTGTCCCTGTCATCTCCCTGACAAGGCTCTGCAAGCATGAGGATCTGAGTTGGAACCCCTGGCACCCACCCCACATAAAAAGTTGGGTATGGCTGTGTGTGCTTTTAATTCCAGCATTATGGGGCAGAGAAAGGCAGATCCCCACCCCAGAGCTCTTAGGCCAGTTAGAAAGACTAGGACCCCCCCCCCCCCGCCGCCACCCCAGTCAGGGCTGCAGGTAACAACACAGAGCATGTACAAGATCTCCCAGAAAAGGGCTCTGTGTAAATGACCTATGGAAGAGTGAGTGCTTGCATCTGGGACCTGTTATCACTCTCTCGTCCACTCCATTCTCCATCACACCCTTTTCTTCCCGAATAAGACGTTCTATTTCTCTCACCATCCACAAGCCTCTGGTCCAATTCTTTGTTCCAGGACACATGAACTTGGATCTCTCAGCAGGTGCCTTCACTAATCTGAGTCACTCCACTAACAGTGTGGTTATGGGGTCTGGAAAGGCCATTGAGGATGGGTCACTTCCTAATAGCTCTACCTTTGGCTCTCAGTAGGGATGGTAGGGACAGGCATTCTGATCTTCTCCAAAGTTGAGAACATTACAGGCAGTTGTCTCCTCCCTGAAGAGTTGGTCCAGCTGGGTCTGTCAATCACCAGTTAGAGACCACCCCTAGGGAGGCTGATTCACCTTAAGTCATTCTAAGGAGGTGGGAGGAATAATTATCCCCTTAAGGACATAATGTACTTTTCCTCCCTGGAAAATCTGCCCTTGCTGCAATTCTTCACAGAGCCTCACGAGGCAACTCTAATAAGTTGGCCCCATTTCTGAGTCCTTTTCATTCTTCTCTATCTCTTTCTTTTGGGTACTGGCCAAAGCCGAAACATTTTCTCTGGTGCTTTGAGCTTTCTCATTCTTTCTCTGAAGCCACCCCTGACCTTGCCTCTTTCTCCATATGGCTGCTGCTGACCTCCATGGCAGAACATTCTGGTCTGACTCTGGAAAGACACGGATTTCTGTGTTCTTTTCCCCCACCTACTTCCCCCTGGAAGATGCCCTAGTATTTTCTCTCAAACTCTAATAAAAATGTCCTCAAGATCCCTTCCAAGTTCATTTTAAAATTCTTCCATTAATGAGACTGAGAACACAAAGAAGGGACCCCAGTTTTCCCAGTCATGCATGGTGCCCAACACAGAGCCCCTGAAATTTCACCAGCACGGCCAGCCCTACTCTCCAGAACCCAGCAGGAAATAACTCCACTCACCAATGATGCCAAAGGAAAAGATGGTCAGCTGCTTGCCCAGCCTGTCCATGCTCTTCTGCAGGGGAGTTTTAGGCGTCTGCAGGTGGGGGGCATGGGAGGACAATGGCGTGTTAGAACCCCATGGTTCTTATGACTGTTCTGAGTGACAACTATGTGGGGCACACATGCACATATATTTGATAAACATGGTAAGTTTTATTTTTTTTTGAGGGGAGCACACATGGAGTTCTGAGGACAACTTTTGAGAGTTGTTCTCTCTTTCCCACGTGTGGGTCCCTGGGATCAAACTCAAGTCATGAGGCAGCCCGTGCGTGCCCTTACCATCGAGCTATCTCACCAGTACACATGCTGAGTTTTAAAATTAAGAACAAAAAGCATACTCCCGTTTCCCGTGGCCTCCAGCTTTCTGTAGGCGAGCAGGGCTGACTCTGGCTTAGAACAACCCTGATACAAACCCGCGGCCACCCACTGCCCTGTGGCCCTCACCTCCTCCGCCTGCATCATCTTGAACACTTCTCCAAACTGAGACTGTTCCCCGGTTCCGATCACCACTCCCTGTGTGGAGGAGAGAGGGAGGTAATAGAGGGCCGGGAGCTGCATGGCCAGGACCCCAGGGCTCTGCTTACCTGACCCTTCCCACACTGCACCAGGGTCCCCATGAAGACCACGTTGCTCAGGGTGCTGAGATCCCCGCCGCCCACCAACGGGCTGTCTGTTTTGCTGCATGGCTCGACTTCTCCTGTGAAACTGGATTCGTCCACCAGGAGGTCTGTAACCTGGGGGGCGAAGGTGAAACTCTTGAGATCCCCTCTTGCCCTTCAGAGGATCTGAAACTTACAACAATACCAAAAGCCCTGTAAGATGTCAAGTGGGGAAGGAGCCTTGGAAACTGAGATTCAGAATCACAGAAGCAAAAATGTTTAGAGATCGGGGCCCCTCCAGGAAGACATGCAAGTCTCACGCCTTGTTTAATGCTATTTGCAATGTCGGAATTACTAGAAAACGTGGCTCAACTGCTCCTTGGAAAATGTCTTTACCTCTCCAAGCACCCGGGCCCGCTTTTCACCCAGCACCTTCCACCACTGTAAGCCATATGGCATGGTAACCAAAGGCTCCACTCTATCTGGAGTGAGCGTCTCCAGCAGTCTGTGTGCTGTGATTCAATTCCCTCTGTGAGGTGTTAGCAGGGTGGAATAGGGCCAGTGAGATGGCTCAGCAGGTAAAGACACAGGGCAGGGAGAAAAGCCCCTTGGAGGAGGCTGGTAGGATGGACAGACCTGAGCTGAGACCTCAGGATGGGAAGGGCTAAGTCCATGGTGGGGGGGACATGGGGACACACAGACACAGTCTCAGCAGCAGACAGGGCCCCCTTGTGTGGAGATAGCAGTGTCTCTGGTATGGAGGTCGGGCCTGGCTTGTAGCTTGGGCCTTTTCTGCCCCAGTTAATTCCCATCCATTTGACCTCAAGGTTAGTCCCCAAGTGGTTGTCTCCAGGGCGCCCTTCCTGCCCTCCACAGGTGGGGCTGGGCTCTTGAATCACCAGGACTTTCCAGCCTACTCTCCCAACAGCCACTGAAGAGCTACCTGCAGGGACAGGCTGAGGCCTGTTGCTCTCAGTGCTAAACCCAAGCTCAGGGTCAGGTCTGTTCTCTGCAGTATCCTTGGCACCCAGCACAGTGCCCTGTGCATAGACACCTTAGATCAGCTGGGCTTGGCAGTGCCAGACTGTCATTCAGAACTTGGGAGGCTGAGGCAAGAGGACCAAAAGTTCAAAGCTAGCCTGGACAACTTAGTGAAACCTGTCTCAAAATAAAAGCCAAACAAAGGCAGGAGATATAACTCAGTGGGACATGCCGGCTGAGCATGCACGAGGCCCTGGGTCCCTGTCTCAGTGCTAGAGGGCAGTGGGCACAAGGGAGGGGCCCTGGGATGGAAAGAAGGGCTCAGAAAAGGGCCTTGGGCATGCACCCTCCCAAGACACCCACATCCCCATCTTTAGAACATGCCGCTGAGTCATCCAGTTTAGCAGAGGGAACTTGGCAGGTGTGACAGGCACTCTGAAATGGGGAGGTGATACTCTCGAAAGAGTGGGGCAATGGCACCCCGAGATCCTTGGGAAGGACAAATGATCAAAGAGGAGAGACGTGCTGGAAGGAGCCACAGACTGGCACCTCCCATTACTGGGAAGCTGCTTGTCTCTAGAGCTGGGAGGGAGCATGGTCTGCCTGTACCCAGACTCGGGCTTGTTCCAACAGCTGCTGGCACTTGATAGGCAGAAGGGACATAGAAAGACAGTCGTAGCAGAGGAGGGGTAAGGACAGCAGATCAGAGCCTCACAGCCAGGAACAAAGCTACCCTGAGTGCCACCTTAGGAGGCAGTATAGCCCTCTAGGCCACCAGGAGGTAACAAGGAACTCCCACAGTGTCAACAGGCTCCTTAAGTGTAAACACAGCCACATGTGTTAACACTGGGAAAACACTCTGATAAAGGTGTCTTCATGCAACACCAAGACGGCTGTAACATTACCAGAGTCTGGTGGGCCACCGCTGTGCATGTGGCCCTAGTGGACTGGAAAGCAGTTTGCAGTGTGTGATCATAGAAAAACACTGGTCTCTTCCCAGGAGCCCTGGATAGCGTCTGAATGAGGAGGAGCGGGTATTTGTGGGGAGGAGGGCACAATCTCGTGGGGATGAGGCAGGGGTGGGGAGACACCAGTGGGTCTATGATAGAACTGGGGACATAAGCCACATAGCCCCAGCATGACCAAGGTGGCCGTGCTGGAGGACAAGGACCACGGAGGCTCCCTGCCCTTCCAGGCCACATGTATCCCCCTGAATGCCTGTCCCCAGTGCTAGGACCCCTTGACAAAGCTTACTTGGAGTTCCGACAACTCCATTCAACTTTAGACTCCGCAGGGGAAGAACAGACAAGAACTTTTGCCTTGGTTCCCACTCAGGGGAACAGAAGGTAAGGCTTTGTGACCCCACACAGCCATGCACAAGCTGTTGTGGGTCGTGTCCTCAGGCTTGTGAGCCTCCTGTTCCCGGAACTCGGTGGTCAGGGCTGGCCATTCCTGAGTCTCAGAGCTTAGTCGCTGATAAAGGTTTTCTGTTGTGAATAAACAAAGCTGTTGATTGTCCCAGGGAGTTGCAAAATGGTGACAGGGAGATGTGTGGGGCACAATGGTGTCACTCTTAGCACTGTCAATATGTGCAAGGTGTTACTGAAGTGAATATGAGGCTTCAAGAGCCAGTGGCGGCAGCAGTCAGGGAGATGCTTAAAGTTTACGTCTAGAGGCCTGTGGTCTACTCAGGGCTACAGAAACGTAAATCAGCCACCAGCAGGTGGACCGTTACAGGTCATGGATTGCCTGTCTGCACGGTAACTCTGTGCAGGCTGGACAAACGCCGGTTATGCCGTGAAACAGAGGGCCAGGACTTAAAGGCCAGGGTTCTCTTGACCCTCACACATGCTAAGCTTCTTAGGAGCCAGTCAGTGTTCCCACAGTTCTGTATCCATGTATTTAATCCTTCTAACTGCCCCAGGCTGTTATCACGTCCTGTGTTACACATAAGGAAACTGAGGCACAAAGAGGGTAAGCAGGTTATACAGTTAGGATTTCAGGTGCTGAGTTCAAAACTAGGCTTGTGTGCAGTCTCTCTCGTGGCTCTGCCTCTTTGTCTCCCAAGAACACTTGCAGCAGACACGGTTCCTGACCAGATGTGCGGCATCCTCAGAACTCAGTGAATAAATCCACTGGCCTGTTCTTGGAAGGAGTTGTCACTCAGGTGACTCTGCCACCCAATCCTTTCTCCAGAATGTAGCATCATGTCGTACAGCCCCAGGTATGGTTTTGCTAGATGGTAACTCTGAACCCTTAAGGTGTGGGAGGAGCCAGCCCACTGGAGTCACCAAACCAGGCCTCGGCTGCACTTGATGGTTCTCTGCCTCAGTTTCCCTCCTTGCTATGAAGCAGCCCATAGCCTCCCCCAGTTCTGCCCTGGATGATTTTGCCATTGTAATTTGCTCTATAAACCACATAACCAGGCTGGGAGACAGCTTAGTTGGTAAAGTGATGATTTGAGTCCCAGATCCATGCAGGGAGAAGAAAAAAAGAGAAGATGAGGAGGAGGGAGAGGAGGAAGAAGAGGAGGAGGAAGGAGTGACCGTGGCAGCAGGGTGTGGTGGTAAACCCAGAGCTAGGGAGACAGAGACAGGTCCCGGGGTTAACTGTTCAGCCAGCCAAGGCTACTTCGCAAGCCCTGGGCCAGTGTGAGACTGTTTCAAAAACCAAGGTAGACTGTACCCGAGAAATGACACCCAACACTCACATGATCACACACACACACATGCACAAAACTCCACAAACCAAGATGTGTTAGGCCTGTGCTGGCTGTCCCCCTCAGCCATGGGGCCATGCTCCCAGCTCCCCAGAGGATGCCCAACTATAAGAACAGATTATAGTAAATGTTCTCTGTGTCTCTGTCTCTCTCTGTCTTTCTCAAGAGTGAAGAAAATTACTAATATTTTTGGGCCACAGTTGACTGTGGGTAACAAACTGTGAAAGTGGAAACCACACAGTCAGGAGCACCTCTGTTCTTAGAAGGTAAGCCACTTGGGAATGGTGGCTTTGGGGGTCTTGTGCCTGCACTCTACCTGCCTGTCCATCAGGACCAGCTGTGACATGTAGCTTACCTCAATGAGTCGGATGTCGGCAGGGATCCGGTCTCCGATGGACAGGGACACGATGTCTCCTGGAACCAGGTCTCGTGCGAGCATATGCTGGAGCTTGCCATTCCTCAGGCTGTGTGGGAGAGGAGGTAGAGCGGTGAACCCCGAATCATTCCCCTTGACAAGTGGATTTAGAGACCAACTTGGGGTTTCTATTGCAGGCAAACTCTCGAGACTTTACAGTTCTATTTTTTTTAAACTCTTGTGTCTCAAAATACGTGGGAAGGCATATGACTACCGAGAGACCCTGGGTCTCACCTGAGAAATGAGCTATGCCTCCGGAAGCCTCTGCTGCTGGAGGCCAGCTGCTTTATGGCACCCGGGAAAACACACTTTGACGCTGAGAGAACATACCACCCTGGCTTGGAAATCAGGAAGGAAGGACGTCATGGAGGGCAGAGGGTAGCTTCAATGCCTGGGAAGCCTGGCCCTCCTCAGTGCGTAGCCATCTGCCCTGGGATAATCAGTGGCTGTCTGGGCACAGGTTCCAACTGCAATGCCCCCTCTCCTAGTCCCTCTGGCCAGCAGCCAGGGAGAGCGAGGATAAGCTCCCTCATTCCCCCCTATGCTCCAATGGCTTCTCATGGCCTTGGATGCAACCCCACAAAAATCTGCCACCTGACCTGCTATTCCTGCTTCCATTCAGGTCTTAAACACCTACCCCTTTGGGGGTCTTAGGGTCTTTATAGACCTTGACAGTTAGGGTGGGCATCCCCTTTATCCTGGCAGGGGACACAGTTTTGCTTAGGCCTTTACCCTTCTCCACAGCCACATGTTTATTTAGCTAGTGGGTCACACCTGGGTGTCATCATCAGAGTGGTTCCATCCCTGCCTGTGGCAGGCTTAGACATGAACATGTCACAGAGCTCCAGCTTATGAGACGTTGGCTGGAACTTGCGAGAAAGGTTTTCTTGACCTGTACACACAGTCTCATCAGTGGGACCTTGACAGTTTTGTGTCTGTGATGTCTGGAGCTGTGGCAGCCATCTTGGCACCACAAGGGAAGCCAGTCAGAGTGCAATGCCAACAACCCGAAGATGGCAGAGCAAGGAGGCAAGAGCAAGCCCATGGCACCATGTCAATCAACCCCCACTCCGGTCCCTGGCTGTGACACAATGTCATTTCCTTGTGTCCCATGCAATTAAGTTTTCCATTCTTTGCAGCCAAGAGCACCAGGCACACCCCTGCTGCTGCATGGCTCTTTCTTCCATGCCATTTCTTCCTCCCGTGTTGTCTCAAGGCTGTCCTTGTCCCTCCCCATCACTGCACACCCCTGTGGCTGTGGTTGATGTGTGAGGTTTGGGCAGTGGTCACCAGCTGCTTTCTGGTTGTCCTGTCTCTCAGCTCACTACCCCACTCCCACTCACCCAAGGACCCTGAGCTCTCCGAGACCCGCAGGAGACCCGCAGCCCCCCACTCCTCCCACAGGGATGACCTCATTGCTATGCACCTCGCTGTGTCCTCAGTCTTGCTTTCAAAAGAAAATTGTCTCTGGAGTGGCCCCTGGGGACAGCAGCCACACACCCCATTGCTTTAGTATTTAAGCTCGATGTCCAGCCAGGCTCCATCATAGGTCACTCATGCTCATGCTGCTCAGCTGATGATGTCCCCTGTCTGGGTTTGTGACAGCCTCATTCTCCAGCCACTGAGTCCAGATATATTCACAGTTCCCTGCATCTTCTAGAATGCTCATCCTGCCTACGGGTTCATATCTCTCGCTCCATATGCCCCTCTTCCTCTGTCTTGCCTCTGTCTCTTTCTCTGTCTTTGACTCTGTCTTTCTGTGTCTCTCTGTCTGTCTCTCACACTCCCCATAACTGCTGGCACCTTGACCGGACAGACCCATGACCTATGAGGCTTTCTTCCTACCTACAGCCCCAACTCATGTCACAGGTGTTCCTGCAAACTTCACGCAGGGCCCAGAGCTGAGCCAAGTGTCTGAACCTTCCAACGTGTCCCAGGTCACACAGGGACTCTTGTCCTCATTTGGAGAGCACAGGTCCTGGGGGGACTCTGCAACATTTAGGGCCCTCAGCTGGGTGGGTGGGTGGGGGAAGGGCAGGTCTTTCCTGTGCCTTTTCACAGGCAAGAGGTGACTAGTGAATTCTACACAGTGTCCTTAAAAGCTGGCCCCAGAGCTGTGAGATGGCTCAGCAGGGTCAAACCTGACCACCTGCGTTGGATCCCCTAGAAATCACATGACAGGAGAGACTTGACCCCCAAAGTTGTCCTCTGACCTTATACATACCATGGTATGCTACATTTATACAAATATATACAAATAAGCAAATGTAAAAAAAAAATTTGAAGTTGGCGCCTTATGCACGTAGAGTCCTTTCTGTCCAAGCGCCCCATCTTGCCTACATGCTCACTTTAATAAACTCAATAAAATGACAGAAAATGAGGACTCCATCTCCTCACTCAGCCACATTTAGAGTTCTTGTTAGGCACCCAGGCTAATGACCCCACACTGTACAGGGTAGTTAAGAGTATACTTCTAGGAGTTTCTATCGCTACAGGTTGTACTAGGTCGGAATACCGTGAAGGACAGATGGGTGCTTTGTTATTTTCCTTTTTAAACATCATCGACGGGAGCTGGGGATGGTAAATGGCAAAGGAGTAACATGTGGGCTGGCAAGAGGCTGTCACCTGCCCTGAGCTGCTGAGCCAATCAGAGAGTACCTTGTGGTAGTATGAATGAGAATGGTCCCCATAGTCTTGTATGTTTGGATGCTTGGTCCCAGTTTATAGATCTGTTTGGGAAGGCTTAGGAGGTGTGGTCTTGTTGGAGAAGGAGTGTCACTGGGGGGTTCCAAAAGCCCGTGACACCCCACTTGGCGCTCTCTCTCTTTTTCTGCCTCATGGTTGTTGTCTCAACATGTGAGCTCTCAGCTACTGCTCCAGTGCCATGCCTGCCTGCCGCCATGTTCTCTGCCATGATGATTATGGGTTCGCCCTCTGAAACTATATGCCCCAAATAAACTCTTTCTAAGTTGCCTTGGGCATGGTGTCTCTTCACGACAATAGAACAGTAACTAAGACATCCCTCTACACACAGCCCGCCACAGCCACACGGTGCTCTGCGGCTGGGCCTGTCGTTGCCCCAGGCTTAACTTCTGTTTGGGAACACAGACACCCCTGGCCCCTCTCTTCAGGCAAAACTCAGGTTTCTGCTTTATTTCACAGGCTCTTCTCTTCCATCTGCAGCCCCAGGTCATACACCCTTAGCTAGACCCTGCTGCTAGAGCAGAGGCCCAGAGAGATGGAGCCTCCTGTCTATGGTCACACAGCAAGCCACCACCAGGGCAGACACCAGGCCTTGTCATCCTCAGTGAGGCTGAGATCGCCTTCCCCATGTCACACCACAAAGGAGACAGCGCTAGTCAAGCCTTGGTCAAATTCATCATGGCATCTGTCAGCTCCTTCCGTGGACCACAGGCTCACGGAAGCCCCGACTTACCAGTTGCACTCTGGAGGTACCAGCTTGGTCAGCTCTTCCAGAGATTTCTCGGACCTGTATTCCTGGCAGGAAGCACATCAGATGTGCTGTTCAAAGGTGGGAACCCCGACAAGTGCCCATCACGTCCCGGTGACCCCACCCAGATGGGATCTCAGGATGCACACACCTGGATGAAGCCAACAGTCACCACGATGAGCACGGCCTAGAAGACAGGATGCCGGGAAGGGAGGGTGTGAGCACTACTTCCTGGTGAGAGTGAGGCCAGAGCCAACTACCGGAGCACAGGGTCTCTGAAAGCACACTGCTCTCCAAGCCCTGCGGTGCAGACCTGTAATCCAAGCTGCTCAGGAGGCAAGTGTCGGATTTGCTTGTTTTTAGTCTGTCCTTTCTTTCTTGGTTCACAATAAACTCCCCACCCCCTTTTCCTTGTGCAGTGACTGGCCTCAGGGGTAGGAGGATGGCTGAGTTGGCAGAGTGCTTGCCTTGTGAGTATGAAACCCTTAGTCTGAGCCTCAGAACCCGAGTAAAAAGCCAGGCATAGTAGTAATTGCAGCCCCAGTGCTGGGGAGCAGAGACAGGTGGGTCCCTGGGGCTCACTGGCCAGGCAGCCTGGCCTACATGGTGAGCTCTGGGCCAGTGAGAGAGCCTGTCTCAACACAAGATGAATGGTTCCTGAGACATGACAGCTGAGGTTGATTCTAGCCTCTGCATGTATGCACACATGTATTCCCACATGCATACACACATACACAAACCATGATAAGTTTTGAAAAACACCTGGCAGCAGAGCCATGGCTAGCCCTGGGCATCCCTGCCCAGGGGCTGAGGCTGCCAGTTACTCACCAGGGCGATGCTGATGGCGTCTTCATACTCCTTGGTGAGGACACTCACCACGGCTGAGCCCAGTAGCAGCAGGATCAGGGGGTTCTTGAACTGGAAGATGAACCACAGGGCAGGTCTTCATTTCACAAAGGCCAGTGCAGGCTCCCACCTGCAGCTGCTGGGCAGCTCAGACCTTCACGTGAGGCCAGGCTTCCAGGTCTCCCTGCAGCGGCTAAGGGCTTGGGAAGGGGACTGCTCTGTCTGGTATTCCTCCTCTGTAGGAAAGTCCACCATCGACAGCCCTCTGGGCTGATCCTGACACTGCCCCATCCAGACCCGGCCCTGACTCTGAGTTCTGTGTCTTGCCTGGCCACACCTCATCCATCCAGGGTTCCCTTGGGAATACATGATGGATGCACATCCTGGCTACTATCACCAAGCACTCCTCTCTTGCCACAACAGACCCCCAGCCTTGTGTGCCACAATCACTCTGCTCCTGCGGTCATCTCTGGGGACTCTAGTGATGTTCCTCTTAGGTTGTGTTTCTGATTGTTGCTGTCTATCACCCCTTTACGTGATGACGATCCATGTTACAGAGAATGGAAAGGAAGAACAAACAGAAATAGGGTCAAAGAGCAGAACCAGGAGATCAGGGAGAGCATTGAAGGACCAACAAGCATGTCTCCGCCTCTGAGCTTCCCAATGGCCAAGGTGCAAAAGGAAATATGGCCCAGTGCATCGGTACCACAGCTCGTGAGAAAGACTTACTTCAGTGTGTGCTGGTGTGACACGTGAAGGGATGGACCCCACCCTCACCCCTGGAGCTGTCATGTGTTTATTCTCTGTGGGAGGACCCCAGAGTTGACTCTAGCCAAAGTCTCGACCTCTCAACATCGGGAGGCACAAAGACATTCTGGTTTTGGGTTATGGTTTGTCTTTGATTCTACTAACCCACCTCTACTTGACAGCTGGGAGATGACAGTCCTCATGTCACAGACCCTGCCTGCCCTGGATGACCCAGCACAGGGTCTATGGTATGGTGTGGTGGACAAGAACTCAGAAATCTGGTTTTTCCTGCCTGTCTCCACCACTGGCTCACAGATAACCTGGAGCCACCTGACTTCTCCCGGCCTGTTTCCCAGGGTGCAGACATGCTGTCTTCTTCTCCTCTCTCCTCCCCTCACTCCTTCCTCTCTATCTCTTTCATTTTGGTTTTTGAGATAGGGGCTCCTCAAACTAGCTACATGGTCAAGGATGGGCTTGAACTCTTGGTCTTTTTCATGTTCCAAGTGCTGGGGTCACAGGCATCCACACCATGCCTGACTATTTTAAGTTTTCTGGATCAACATCTTAAGATGTAGCACAGGCTGACCCAGAACTCACAGTGATCCTCTGCCTCAGCCTCTGAGTACTAGGGTTACGTATATGAGTCTCCTCCGTGTCCAGTTGCTCCTGGCAACAAGAGCAGCTTGCCCAGGGCTCAATAAATGTCCATTGGCCGTGGGATCAGGCTGATACTGTGGTATTTGGTAATTGGTGGAAGGGAGAAATCGTGGCTAAGTAGCTCTGGTAATGGCTCTTGACCTAGCAGGAAGTTTCTCAACCTCCTTGCCAGGGCCACAGATAGGAGGGATGGGAAGGGATAGGAATGGGTGGTTCCTTTGGAGAGAATCCACCACACAGTGGGATGCTTACAGCCCCAGCACTTGGGTCTGAGACACACGGGGTGGAGTCTGAGCTGGCAAGAAGGGACCCGCTCCCCACAAAGCCCAAGACCTACTCCAAAGTACTGATAGATTCATCCAGAAGGCTGCAGCCTTCTCCCAAAAAGTAATGTCACAGGATACAAATGTTTCCTCTCCAGACCCCACCGTGTTCCACAGACCTTTATGAGCTATTTAAGGGGACCTACCACCCAAGGCAATGAGTGGGTCTTGTTCATACCCCTTCTGAGACTCAGAAGCCAGTCCACCAGTCACAGGGGGAGGCAGAGAAGAGGGTCCCCCACAGTTGGGGTGGGGAGTCCTGACCAGTGCTGAAGGGAGCCTTCAATGTGGAGTCTCCAAGAAGCTTAGGCAGGGTAGAGGTTGGAGAAGGGCCCCAGAGGAAATGAAGACAAGATGGACACCTAGCAGAAAGCCAATGGGGCGGAGCTGTCTGAGCCCCAGCTGGTCTGGGCCCCAGCTGGTCTGAGCCTCCATCTTTAGGCCTTAACTTTAGGAGCCTCCATTGCCTGAACAATGGACTTTTAGGAACCTTCTGGGCTGGCCAGAGTCACCTTGGTGACTACAAGCCAGTTTTTGTGCCAAACAGTCAATTCAGGGCACTGAGAACTGAGTGGTAATCAACCACAAGGAGAGAGGGGGGTGCTACCTGAACTGTGTGGTTGGTCCTTGAACCAATCAATCAATAAAGCTTTAAGCATAGAACCAATCAGAGGGCAGCTGAAGCCTAGGGCAGCTCAGGAGTCTACAAACAGGGAGAACCGAGGTGTGGCCTGGAGTGAGAAAGGAAGGAAGGGAGATTGAGGACCTGGATCCCTCAGGTGTCAGAGATCTCTGCCTGGTCACGGGGCAAAGTACAGACTTCTAGACCAGAACTGGCAGCCATGGTCATTCCCCTTTCCCTCACAGTGGCTAGACATTTGGCTTGCAGACATCAGCACCAGGCCAGCACCGAGCTCAGTAGCTGTGATGGGCTGGTGCTCAGGAGCAGGCTGCATCACAGCCTACTTCTGGGTGACTTTGGGCCCCTGCACCCAAGATGAGCAGGTAAACTTGAAATTCAGGACCACAGGGAAGTGTGCAAATGTGTGTGTGTGTGTGTGGCCAGGGGTCAACCTTGGTTTGTTCCTTGGGGCTGTCCACCTTACTTTTTGAGACATGTCTTTTACTAGTCTGGAACTCACCAAGCAGGCTAGGCTGGCTGGAACCACCTGTCCCTGCCTCCCTGAAATCTAGAATTTCAACCGCACACCACCAAACTCAGCTTTTCAAAAAGCAGGTTCTGGAAGTCAAACTCGGGTTCTTGTGCTCATTCAGCAAAGACACTTCACTGAGCTGTTTCCCCAGCCCGACAATAACTTCACTTTTACAGTCTCCTGAGGCATACTTCTAGTCAATTATTTCTCCCGTGGCCTTCTAAAATGCCCATTTGCCAGGACATCCGTGCCTTTCTTTGCTTCCTCTGGCAAAGCTACGTGCCATGCAAGGCCTTTGCCAAGCAAAGACTTCCTGCTTCTCTGTCCCACCCTCTCCCTTTGCAAATGACTTTAGGGGGATGATAAAATAAATTAACACTACTTATTTACTTACCGTTCAGCATGGTGCCTGGCTCATGGCAAGTGTCCCTGGTGCCCATCACGGCAAGTCAAGTCATGGCTACCTATATTTTTAGTCACCTGTGCATGTCTCCTCCTGGAGGCTCAGAGCATCCAAAAGGACAAGACTGTTTACCTTGAAACTCATTCACCCCACACCCCAGGTGGGACCTGTCCAAGGACACCCAGGATCAATATTTAAAGAATGAGTGCTTGGCCCGCCCTTCCTGGCTAGTGCCCCTAGTGAACACAGAGGAGGGAGTCCTGCCCCTACCTGATCCAGGTACTTCTTCCACACGGGCTCAGCGTTATCAGTGACAAACTCATTCCAGCCATGGACCAGCCTGCGCTGGGCCACTGCCATCTCTGACAGGCCACTGTCCAGGTCCACCTAAAAGGAGACAGTAGATGTAGGGTGAACACAGTACCGGGTCCAGCAAGGACCAAAGAAACAAGTCACACAGTGGCCTTGAGCCACAGTGTCAGCAAATGGGACTGGAGATGCGAGAGTGGAAAGGTAGAAACAGGGTCTTCTCCTTACAAAGAAAAACTGCAGGGCAGTGGTGGTGATGCCTTTAATCCCAGCACTCAGGAGGCAGAGGCAGCCAGGTCTCTGTGAGCTTGAGGCCAGCCTGGTCTATGGAGCAAGTTCCAGGAAAGCCAAGACTACACAATGACACATACAGAGAGAGAGAGAGAGAGAGAGAGAGAGAGAGAGAGAGAGAGAGAGAGAGAGAGAGAGAGAGAGATGAGAGGGAGGGAGGGAGGGGAGGGAGGGAAGGAGGGAGGGAGGGAGGGAGAGAGGGAGAGAGAGGAGAGAGAGAGAGAGAGAGAGAGAGAGAGAGAGAGAGAGAACAAACCTTGGATATAGCTGCTATCTAGCAGCTTTTCAAAATATTAAACAGGATTACCACATGACCCAGTCATTCCACTCTGGGTATACAGGCCCAAAGGCACTGGAAGTGGACACAAAGAGGTGCTTATACCCCCCACACTGGGGGCAGCATTGGTCTCAACAGTCTAAAGGAGGAGGCAGTCTGCATTTGTTGAGGTGAATGGATAAGCCATGTCGTGTAGACTTGTGACAGGGTTACGTAGATTCAGAAAGAAAGATCGTTTTGTTGATGGGTGGACCTGGAGAGCAGAACTGAGGGGGATAAACCTATCCCTAAGAGAAAGGCTATACAGCTCATAAAGGCAGAATGTAAGCAGAGCTGTGAGGCCTGAAGGAGGGAGGTGGAGGCTGCTGTTTAATGAGGACAGAGTCCAGGTTTGCAAGATGGGCAGAACTCCAGAGGTGGATAACGGTGCCATTTTCAAAGAGTGGCGACTGTTCTTCACAAAACATTCACTTAAAACTGTTAAGAAATCCTGGGCTTGTGGTGCACACCTGGGATCCAAATGTTTGGGAGGCCAAGGCAGGAAGATCAGAAGTTCAAGGGCAGCTTCAACTACAGAGTGAGTCTGAGGCAGCCTGGGCTACATGAGACCCTGTCTCAGACACCAAAACAAAACAAAACATAAATGGTTCAGAGAGCCAGGCATAGTGGGTATACCTGTGACTGCTGTACTTGGGAAGCTGACACAGGATTGGGAAGTTCAAGGCTAGCCTGGGCTACATACTGAAATCTTGTCTTAAAACAAAAAACAACCCAAAACCAAAACCCAAACAACAAACCCCAAATGACTTATGTTGTGTCTCTTATTATCATCAAATTCCATCTTAAACAAAATAAGCATCCCTGGGAGTTGCTAAAGTGACCATATCACCTGCCCATGGCAGATGCTAATCCAGGCCCTTAGTGAGAACAAAATCATTAGGCACAGCCAGTTTAAGTCATCATGTCAGAGAGCTTTGTGCTCAGGGGAACTTTCCGAGAAAGCTGCACAGGGCTGCGGGGTGGGGATGGCGGGGGGGGGGGGGGGGGAGTGGGATCCAGGTGTTCTCTGTAGGAAAAGAGGGCTGAGCTCATTTTTCTGGCTCAGGAAATGTCTGAACAAGGAAAAAGACCTTCCTCCTCTTCTCCCCAAGAAACAGGGCTTGAGATGGACTCTTAGGTCATTCTTAAGGCCTGTCATGGTACCACATGTCCTGTCCCTGCTAAACTTTTTTTTTCCTAAGGCAGGATGAGCTATGAATAGTACATACCCACGTTCACACATGCACACCCATCCAGACATGCACATGCACATGTAACATAAATATGCATGCACATACTCATGTACATACATGCACATATATAAATATGTACATGCACATACATACAACATACCTATGTACACATACCCCCCACATGCACATGCATACACATGTGCACACATGCAGGTGCACATATATGTACATGCACACACATCCTAATACCCACGCATAGATACACATATGCCCATGTAACACATATATGCATACACACATATACCTGTACACACATGCACATGCATACATATATACATGCACATACATACAACATACCAATGCACACTTACGCACACACATGCATCACCATTTCTGCCTGGCGTTCAAAGTAATATAAGCTAAAGATACAGTGCTGGTTCCATCCTGTGGCCCCAGAGGGCAGATTCCTAGGCCAGCTCTGGCTTTTTTTCTGCGATGCTCCCAAATTCTAATTCCCTCAGGCACTTGTGAGAATTTGATGTCCATAACTGGCCTCTCGACGTCATAAAAGATGAAAAGAGAGAGGCAGGTGTGGGCGAAGAGTCTGAACCCTGATGACAGAAGCCTGGAGGAGCCCGGGGCCGCGCACCTCCCTAACAGTGCTGGTCACTCACTCTGGTTCTCACCATTTGCCAAAGGAACTGTGGGCGGAAGGACACTCGGCCTCCCGCGGGGACCTCAGGCACTGGCTCTAGGGACAGCAGCATTGTAGAAACCGGAACTGATCTACCCTGACAGCTTCGTGGTCCTTTCTCTTAATCCACAAACTACTTCACAGTGGCATCCGGCATGACGGCTCATCTTATGACAGGAGTTAGGATCCCCATAAACACACCCTGGATGAGGGCTTTTCCAGAGAGGTTTAACTGAGGTAGGACCCATCCTGAATGTGGGTAGCACCATCCCGTGAGTGTGGGGCCAGACTGAGCACCAGCATCCATCTCTCTCTGCTTCCTGACTGCAGGTGCAGGTGACCAGCTGCCCCACGCCCCTGCCACCAGGACTTCCCACTATGATGGACCTTGAACAAGAACCAGAAAGGCGCTGCCTTAAGCTGCTTTTGGGGGGCATTTTTGTCAAGACAATGAGGAAAGTAATAAACACAGATACAAACAGTTCTTACATGGAAGGCTCTGGCCAAATCCTCTTTGCTGCATTTACACGCTTCCCTGGGTGGCAGCGCTGTGACTGTCTTTTCTCTTTCGATGGCTTTCAGCTCACACTGGTCATCAATCTGTGGAGAGAGCAGTGTGGCTGGTGAGCATCGGACGCTTTGCTGTGAGGTCTCTGGTTAAAGCAGGACACGCATACGCAACGTCTGCACACCCCGAGTACACACGTCTACCCACGTGATCTGCTCCCACATCATGAGACAGGTGGCATCAGTCCCCAAGCTCACTCGCCAACCACCCAAAGGGTTTTTTTTTTTTTCAATGTGAACTCTACGGAAATGGTCACATGCCCAGCACCCTCTGACTGTGCTCTCTCTCCATGTTAGTGACAGTGGGCAGGGTGCCACACTGCTCTCTCCACAGATGCTCAGCTTTCCTCTGCATGTGTAGATTCTGCTCCTATCTATCCCTCCTGCTAGGGGTATGCAGGGTTCATTTGTAGTCATTGGCTATTATTGACACATCTGTTTGGAAATAACCTTTTTCTCTTATTATTATTATATTCATGTGTGTGTGTGTGTGTGTGTGTGTGTGTGTGTGTGTGTGTGTGTGTGGTATGCACATACATGTGGCCAACACTTGGTATTTTCTATCATTGTGTCCACTCTTTTTTTTTTTTTTTTTTGAGACAGGGTCTCTCATCTTTTGAACCCGGAACTCACCTATTGGCTAGATTGGGTGGCCAGTGAGCTCTGAGGCGCCACTTGGCTCTGCACACCTGTGCCCTGGGTTAGGTTACAGATGTGTTACAGATGTGTGCCACCACACTCATGTCTATGTGGACACTGGGGATATGAACTCAGGTCCTCAGGTCTGTGTATCAAAGCACTTAGCCATCTGAATGACCTGTCCAGCTGCACAAAAACAAACTTCTTTAATAGGATTAGGCTGATAGATCAGGGTGACATTTTACATGTTCAAAACCTGGACCCCCTTACTGCAGCAATCCGGGCTGAGTGTAAACTGTAAAGAGTGTCTCCTGAGCCGGGCGGTGGTGGCACACGCCTTTAATCCCAGCACTGGGGAGGCAGAGCCAGGTGGATCTCTGTGAGTTCGAGGCCAGCCTGGTCTATAGAGCGAGATCCAGGACAGGTACCAAAACTACACAGAGAAACCCTGTCTTGAAAAAAACAAAAAAAGAGTGTCTCCTGTAGCAATATGTGGTATCACATCCTAGTTCCATGAGTTTTTGTAAATAATTCGAGGAAAGGGGTGGAGGCCACCATTAGGTCCTAGAAGCCTGAGGACCTGTGCCCAGAGCCCCAGGCCATCAGACACCAGGGGCCTGGGCCACTGTGATGACAGAGGGACCTCGGTGCCTGGGCACATCGAGACATGTACAATGTTCTTCCCAGAATTCTGGCACTGGGACATGATAGCATCTTTTCCTTCTCAAGCCAAGCCACCAGGAACTGGGAAGGAGGAAAGAGAGAGGTGCTAACAACTTCCTTTAGCTGAGGTGCAGTCCAAGTTCCTCTTCCCTTTTCACGAATGCTGTACCCCACGTGCAAGTGAGCACCCAGCGGCCGATTTGTCCATGGGAACCCCCAAACACACCCCACCTCCTGGAATTCTGCTCTTGCTATCAAAAACCAGAGCACGGCAGTGAAGACAGCTTCTCGCCAGTTCTGTGGTTCCCGGAATGTCTCCACACCAATAAAGAGCTCCCGGCAAATTCCTCTACAGAGAAACGTGCACCGCTGGACTGCTAGGCGCTAGTCGCCACGCAGCCATCTCTCTTGCTCCCTCTGCGTGCGAGACAACCCTGGGTGTGAGCACACCTGTACCCTTCCTTCTGGCTACACCACACTCACTTTCCAAATACAGTATCCTGTGATATTGAAACATCACGTACACACACATATATACATGCACATACATATATACACAGGCACATATACATAAATACAGACATACACAGACTACACACATATACATATATTCTCTCTCTCTCTCTCTCTCTCTCTCTCTCTCTCTCTCTCTCTCTCTCTCTTTCTCTCTCGCTCGGAGACACTCAAATCCTGGCTGCTTTCAGGACACCACCCATCTCTTTTGGCCTGGCTGTGGTGACTGACACTCCCTTGGCCCACCCCCTGCAGTCTTCACGGCCATAGACTGATTTTCTCTGAGCTTTAACCTCTGTGGATTTCATACAATAGAATCCCACACTAGCTGACCTCCCCTGCCTTTGTGCCTCCTTGTGACCCCAGAGTACTGTTTGCCTGCAGCAAACAGCCTGCTGCTCCATGTGGGGCCCTGAGGCAACAGTCCAGGACACTGAGACTTCTCGGAGGAGTTTTCCCAGCAGCAGGCTCAGGCTGGAACTCAGCCCAACAGAGACCTACAAAGGACAAATGTGACCTCCCATGGAAGATACAGGCTCAACAGACATCCGGGAGCTCAGTGCAGAGAGAGCGTTGGGGCAGCAGGGCCCAGCCTCCCTCAGCCCCGTCCTGGCCTCTCTGCCTCCCTGTCTGTCCAGTGCAGGGATCTTATTCATTTTGCTTAGATCCCAGGATCTCTATCCTGTTCTGGGGCTGATAACACGTGTATTCCTACAACATACTTGTTAAAACGGACCCCTGCCTCAATTTCTTCCTCAGACTAGTAGGGGTTGTCACAGCAGGGCATTACCAAAAAGGAGAAGGGCTATTGGAGAAGAGGAGAAGGAAGACCCACGTGCAGTTCCTGGCACCAAGAAACCCCAAGCACAGGTGATGAGGGGGTGGCAGAGTTCCTTTCAGAAATTAGGGTCCTGAGGCAGTACCAGTCTTAATAAACAGGAGTGCAGAGGCCCTGTCACCTCTGACATCCAGATGAGCACTCAGGAATTCCTCTGTGCATGTGAACCAGACACTGCCAGAGACTCATATCCACTGAGAAAAAACTAGTCACACTGGGTATGGTGGCATTCATCTACAATCTCAGCACTTGGGAGGCTGAGGCAGGAGGATTGCTGAGAATTTAAGGCAGTGTGAGCTACACAGCAAGGTCCTGATTTTAAAAAACTAACAGTGTGGTACTGCCTTGATGGAGTCATCGAACTCTGTGATGGAAATGGAGGAGTCAAAAGCCAAGGGCAGCAGGTGGCCTCCCTGAGCAGGGGAAATAGCTCCCTGCCCCCTCAGAACCTGCACAAGGAGCTGCCCTGGTCAGACTGTCTTCTGTCTTCTACCTGTGAGACCCAGGTTGGACTCTTGTTCTCCAAGCACCAGGGAGCACATGGCTGTGGCTTGGAGTGATGGAGATGTGTGGTGTCATGTTAAAGCCATGGTGGTACCCTGGTGTTGTCATCGTCTGTCTGCTTGCTGAGCTCCAGACTCCAGCCCCTCCCTGTATCCAGACACATGGGCCTCCCCCACTTCTCCACCGGCCTCATGGGAGAGGGGCTATCATAATCCAACTTACACAGGAGTGTCAGCACAGTGCATGCAAAGCGGAGGGTGCTCCAACATGCTGTAGAGGGGAGAGAAGATGAGAACAGTCTCAATGTTGATACTAGAAAGGGAGGGGGTGAGCGGCCACGACAGCTGCATGCACAAGCAGGAAGGCAGTCAGAAAGTACAGGCACAGGAACAGGCAGGGAGTGGTGTTCACAATGCAGGCCGCCCCTTAAGGCGGCACCACCCACACCCCCATAGAGGCCAACGCCTGTGCTGTGGCCTCCGCAGCAGGCACAAGTCTACCCTAACAATGCTTTCTTGGCTCACTCCTTTATTCCCTGGCTTCTTCCTGAATGCAGAGAACCCTGCCCACTGCCTGGGAGACCACAGTTCCTATGGTCTATGCCAAGAAATTATGCAAGCACCTTCACTTAAATCAACAAATGAGAAGACAGGACAAAGACAAAGCCATCCAAGTGCAAGAGGAAGCCAAGGCCTGCCTTTTCGTAGGATCACAGAGTGAGAAAGGACTTTCTAAGTACAAGATAAAACTGAGATAAGAAATAGACTCAAGTTCCAGACAGAAAGGGGACTGGGCTGTGTAACGTACAGTGTGAGCACTGTGAACAGAGTCCAACGGTAAAACTGCTGCAGAACACCAAGACAAAAATTTACCAAAACAATGTGAATCTCTGACCTTGCAAAGAATAACATGACTGCCAATTGTTTCTATTGTTGTTGTTTTGTGAAAACTGGGAAAAAGATATACACTAAGAATGTAAGCCCGATGATAAAGCTGAGGACATCCACACACCGGAACTGGTGCCGGGGAGAGCTTGCTCACATACAGCTGTGAGGTATGAATCAGGACAGCCCCCACTGCAGATCGTGTGGCATCATTCGAGTTGGAAAGGCTCTGCTCACTTCTTGTTCAGACGCCCTCTTTTCAGAAGGGTCCTCTCAGAGCCACACCTCACAGTACTGTCCACGATGGCTCTCTGTTAGTGTCAACCCAAACACCCACTAATAGGCTGGCTGGTTAACCAGGAGACCGCTGTAACGTGTGGCGCAAAGCTGCCCCTGAAAGAAGAGTTCCCTGAATGGAAATGTTAACTGTATATTGAGGTACGTCTGCTATAGTCACGTAAGTCACACACAGCTGTACCGAGACTCACATGTGTGTATGCCTGAGTACCACCCAGACATCGACGGAACTCACAGCTCCCAGAATTGTCCTGCCACTGGGCCCTCTCTCACAACCACCTTCTAGGAAGATTAAACATCCTCACTGCTTTGCACAGGGATCTGCTCTGCCTGCTTCAGAAACCCACAGAAGCGTCACACCCAGGGACCCCAGTCCTCCTGCTATCTTTGTGAGAGTGGCTAGTTCTCTACCAGTGAGGGCAGGTCACTCTGTTGCTGTGTGGGACCATGGGCATTTCATCCTATTACCGTATAGCAACCTGGCGTCGTGATTTATTAGCTGGCTGCAGGGGCTGGCATGTAGGCTGTGTCCAGTTTGGACTGTTACATCGTACATGGCATTGTTAGGTCCCAGGGCAGGTGTGCAGTTATAATGGACACTTCCACGGGGTCTTCCCCAAATAGTGGGACCATTCACAAGAGGTAGAGGAGGAAAATTAGAGGTGTGGGCTGCTGTGCATAAGGGGGCCCCACGT